ACTATATCACCACCTTACACTCTCCCATGAACTACTTAATATTTCTTTAACGAACAACTTAGTTGGCTTTTTAAATCGACTTTGCGAAAAAACTTTTAACAAAAATCATCTTTCTTATGGGAGAAAATAGTAAAGCAACACATGACTATGAAAATACCTAAAAAATGATAATTTGTTTATTTTAATAAGTTTTCAGATCAAAGCTTATGAAATTATGGGCCCATTGTCATGAGAGATAGGGGAAAAATAGAGAAAGAGAGCACTGAGTTTAATTTACTTGGCTTATATAGTAAATAGTAAAAGTAACTCTCGTTTTATATTCCCTAATCCGGAAATACGCATGTTAAAAACGTGAGAATTCTTTATGGGGTCGGAAACTCTTGCTTCTGGCTGTGGCACACATCTGCACAAAACTCTTTGAGTATTTTGGGTATAGGGTATAGGGTATACAAAATAAACCACAACATTTATCTTAAATCTTAAATTTTTTTAAAATTAAAATTTAAGTTAAATTTATCTTCATTTATGTACATGGGCATCACACAGAGCTAGCTCCCCCTAACTAATGTACATTTTTGATCAAAAAGAGCCGATAATACATTTACATAAACATATTTTGTATACGATTGTCTCCTCTAGTTATGGCGTAAAGCCATATTATCATTCTTACCAAAGCAAGTCTCACACCGCAAGTAGGCTCCATACACACATAGGCATATTTATTGCACAATATTTATTACCGACGCCCGACCCGACGCAAGGGCCCGAGATTTTCACAAACACTCAGCCACACAAGGCTGGGAAACGAAGACGACTTTCCGTCGGCTGAGAAAGAGTAGAGAAACAGTAGCTCGATATCGATATCGTCTAATAGCCGCAATTATGAATAAAAGCGAGATTGACTGCCTGAAGTAGATTCAATTTGATGGCGTTATAATTTAAAGTACACAGTGTCAGCAAGTGTGTCTGAACAGAGTTAAAGATTGGCGCGGTACGTATGGCACATTAAATTTTGTTAATGGAAGAATAGTCTGTACTTTGAGTGAGACTATTACGATTGTTATAGTTCTATAGTTGGCGTGGTGTCGACTGCTGTTGTTGTTGGTTTATTATTTTAACACTTTCGACAAAGCGCGCGACGGCGGACTAGTATTAGAGCCAGTGGAGTTGGAGCTATGGTGCGGAACGTCATTCGACTGTGCGAGTTCTCCGCTGTCTGTGAATCGCTGTTAGTTTCCAGGAATCGCAGTCACAAGGCCTGAACTCTCGCGCTCTGCGACATGAACAGCACAACACAAGACGGCTGACGACGCCGACGCCAAGAGTCACGTCACCAGAGTCCAGAGCTAGGGCGACAGCAATGCCAATAGGACAGGAGCGGTATCAGCAACAACGGGGCGACCGTGACGAGCGGGGAGGGAACCGAACCCCGAGCATGTGCGACAAAAGTCAGCGCACCAGGAAGATATACGCACAGTCTCGTCTTTGGTCTCGGGATCATAAATAGTAGATAAACAAATAAATAAGCCGACGCGTCGTGGGGAAAGAGAGGGAGGGAGGGGTTTCAATGGACATACTGCTTAGATATATGACGGATATATATCTTTACATGTCTCACCCGCACCCTCACGGCCTAGCACCCACACCCTCAGACCCTGACAAATTCGATATTCTTCGATTTCGGGTATCGAATATACGAGTGTATGTGTTTGTGCGTGCTTGTCTGTGGGGGTTGGGTTGCAGAACCGTTCCAGATACACATACATATACGCCTTCGAAGTTCTGACGCGCAGGGACAGAAATCAACCACCGACCAATGACGCCCCACAGTGGACCCATCTCTATCTGTATCTGCGCAGTGCTCGTTTTAGCCCAGATGGAAATGGAATCCAGCTAGGGCCACTTTGCAGGGCCAGTTACTGTTACTTGCCTGCTCTTGCTCTTGCTCTCGCTCTCGCCCCTGCCCCTGTGACCGACAGCTACACGCAACGCTTCGTGTTCATCCCCGTGTAAAAATCAATCGCAATCGATGGATGAATTTTATTGTGCGCAAACTCAGTTTTCGGAAAAGGAACTTTTTGGGTGGACGCCTATATAACTGTTGGCTGTATTTACTGCACAGTATGATCATTAAAAATCGTGAATGTTATCCAGACAAAAGGACCTCCCGAAATCAGTTTTATCTCTAACGAAAACGAGAGTTCTCAAAGTAAAATGGAAAATATTCAAAAGGAATCAAGGAGTAAATAGCAGGCAGTATGGTATGGCCATGTTCGAATGACTGAGTGCACACTAGTCCCCCAATTTCTAAGCTATCTGGCTCCCAATTTGTACAGATCCTTTATCATATAGGCGACGATCGAGCTATTTTTAAGCATACCATTTTTCACTATATCACATAAATTCATTATTATCGCAATTTTGCAAGAACATTTTAAAAGAAAACTAAGAATACAGCCCAGAAGCTAAAAACTTTCAATTCACTTGGCCCGCAATAAATAACAATAACAGTCAAGACTGTAGTACAGTACCCTGTAGTACTGAATAAGTACATGAAACTGAAAGTAACAACCGCATTAAGGAAAGTTTCAAACCAAATTCTGCGGCAAGCCGTCCAGGTCAGTCAACTGATTATAGATCTGTGGCTAAGACAACAAAGGCCGGGTGCTAGTGCTCCGCTTGTGTTTGCTCCCAGCACGTTTTGACTCGACTGGAAGTTCTACATGGTTTAAAAGCGGGGGAAGACACAACGACATCGTCACAGCCCATAGAGATGGACCATCTCCCCAGATATTTACCTGTGAAATGTGTTCCCAACTTGTGTTTCAGGGCCCGCATGGCACTTCCTTAAATAGTGCTAAGACTGCTAAGTGACTGGACAAATAACGCGTGCTAGAGTCGTTCGGCATAGCCAAATTGTTCTTGTAAGGTGCAACTAAAACTAAATGCGGCCACTGTGTCCAACCAAGCTTGGGGGAAAAATGTACATACTTAAGTGCATACTTATGTATATGCACGTATACGTATACATATGTGTATATAAATCTGTTTTCCGAGCTTCTCTTAATCTATCCGCCCTCTTAAGCGACAATAAAATGATTGAATGTGCGAAAGTAATCTATAAAAGTATATATGTATGTACATACATTTAAACACAATCAAATCGATCAAATAATTACAGAAAATAGATTAACTCTTCGATGTGAAAAAGGCATGCCTTACTATCGAACTTATGCCTTAAAGAAATACTTTTCTTGGTCAAACTATGGCTCATCCGTATTTTAGCATGGGTATAATTATAATTTTGCTTTTAGAACATTTACGAGTACTAAAACACTGTTAAGCCAAATACCAATTGTCTGGAATACTTGTCGCGTTATAATTGAAAATAAATAAATAAAAATACAAAATACTATAGTAATTTTGTTTCTATTGGCCTAGTATAAGGCGGTTTCTGTTGTATTACCGATCTACTTCCCAGTTTATCTTCTCAGACCTTTTCATTGTTGAAAAAATGAAAATATAGGTACGAATAATATGAAGATGAAGGAACCAGCCAAGTCAACTGTTGCTAATCGGTTCTTGGATGGTCACAATTATATGAAAGTATACTAACGATCTAAAGTCTATCCATGTGGTCCAGTCAATAACAGAATTTTCTTAATCTTATATTATCTTTATTAAATATATTTTCAATATTTAAACCTTGTTCAGGTTTGATTTGCCTGCAGGCTGCTTTAGCATAGTCTGTGAGATTTACGACGATACGATAGACGAAATAGCCATTTTCGACCTGCTATTTATGCAGATTAATAACAGAGAACTAAGGAACTGGAAGCGTTGCTAATAATTTAAAGAACGAAAATTACTCAAAACGAGTAAATGGTTTATTTCGTCGGGACTTTGCTGAACAATACATGTGATATAACCGCCCGTAGTGCTACCAGGAAATATTATTCACGTCTTTTTCTCTGTCACGCCTCTAAAGGGCTACGAGGAGTCCAAATATTTTGACGGTCTGTTGTCAAAGAAATTTAAAGACAAACCGACACCGGAACAGATAGCGCGGTGTCCCAGAATTGGGTCTGCGTCTGCTTAGGTCCGGGTCTTCTTAAGTGCCGATGGTGTTTAAAAGGGAAATCACACATTTTGCTTAATTTGCATTTGCTTGCGACTCAGAAAATCTCTGGACGTGATTTACGATCTGCAATTGATCTGAAACTGGAAAGAGCAACACATCGTTGTAGTCGTAGTTTTAAATTTCTGGTTGAGGTGTCGAGGTGTGAAGTTTGGATGTCCAGCAGCTAACTATTGCTACTGTTTCCCAAAATGTAAACGGATTTTGCAAAGCCGTCGTTCCCGTTGCGGTCAGATCTGTAATGGAATTAAAGATGGCCTCCTGCAAGCACTTCACCACCGCGAGATAAGCGCTAGCAGGGCAGCGTGGCACCGGACGTCTAGATACTTATTGTGAGAAAATGGAAAATTCGATGTCGCCATTAACATTTATTGCTACTTTGGGAAAACTCGATTACAGGCACTGGGCGCGGCGCCCCTACACCACAATGCATTGCCATTGCCAGTGCCATTGCAGAGCCGCCATTTTATGAGTCGCGCCAGAGCACTTATGGCATCATCAGGACTCGGATAGGGGAGAAGGCGCAGCACAGCCACCCCATCAGCCACATGGCTGGAGAGCCATCAGCTCTCGTAAAACGGATTTTGCGCTTAGTCAGGATGCGTGCAGCAGTTTTATGGGTTGCTCCATTGATGCCAGCACTCGGAAAATGTATACAGTTTTCTTTTACTACCTTTGCGCTCCACTGCGCATGCAGCATCCACTGGCTGCCATAAAATATCGAAACGTTCGCAATCATAAAAGTTGATGAGTGCAGGCACCCAAATTGGGATTGCACACAAGCAAGCTCAGAGAATATACGTAAGAGTGAGCTGAGAGTAGGCAGCTCGTGTCAGAGCGAAAGAGAAACTTGTCAGAATTCGGAAGCATATCTGGGAAAAATCTCCGGAATGGATAAATATATTACATTATCGGTCTTCACCGTGTTCTGGCTGCTCTTTGCCTTGGTTGGGTGGTTTGTGGCCATGCGATTCAAGGACAGAGGAGTTATCCGATGCTGTGTCGTACTCACAGCTGCCTGCTGCTATCTCGTCTGGCTGATTACTTTTCTAATGCAAATGAATCCTTTGGTGGGGCCGCGGGCTGATCAAAAGGTAATCTACGCCATCATGAGCTACTGGCCCAACTCCTTCATTCATTCGGAATCGGATCCTTAAAACGATACACTCTCTCCGCTACTGAAATATCTTCACATATATTTTCAAGTGGACAAATATGAATGGTTTAAATAGGCGCCTGGTATTGATGTACTGTACTGAATGAGCTAACAATTTCGGCGACCCGAATGGTGATTAAATTATAAATGATCTTTTATTGACCTGATTTATTATTTTTTTGTTCATCACAAAGTCTGATTTCGAATATTCGTTGAAATTATTTGCTTTTATCTGCTGGATCTGCGAAAGTTGGCTGACTCTTCCAAGCAGTTGTATAACTCCGCTACAAACTGGAAAACCATTATATTTTCGGGTATTTTCTGTAGACACAAAGACACAAAATCAATGTTGCTACGAACTCCCAGTGATTGAGCGACCATTACGCCGTACTCCAGCGTCTCCAGCCGATTCTTACATTTAATGTACTTGGTGTCAATCAGGTTTGGGCGGTAGGAATGAATGATCGCACAAAGTGCGTGGCCGCTCTGCCAGGAAATGGAGAACTCATACATGGGTATGCCATAAGGCTTAGTTTTCTCCTGACACCAGCGAAGCAGTTTGTGGCGGCGTTGGCCAAACGTTGTTCCTGGGTGCGGCTCCACTACAGTTTTCTTTTTTATGCGACATAGACACGATCCTGTTGTCGTTGAGTTCTTTGTACAGGTATTGCCACTTTCATTTACTGCTGCCTTTTGCTTTTGATATGATGATTTTGACAGTTCAGGATCGGATTCGACTTGGCATTGTATCGCCCCGTGTTGGGCTTCTCGCGTTGTAGTATTCGTACTTTCGTACTTATTTGGTTGTGCTGATGCCGCAATATCAGGACTAAGGTGGCTATTATTTTCAGTCTGGGTTGATTGCACTGACTGACTGTCTTCTGCGAGCCTAAATTTGTGGCATTCCTGCATCTGAGGAGGTTGTGGGGGGGTTAAACAATTTTGGTAGCATGTTTGTTGTACTTCCAGTAGTCTTGAGTTTTCTTTGAGTGCAGCTTGTAATTTTAGTTTTTCCTCTGAAAGGCCACTGCTTAGCTTCAAAACGAGATCCTGCTGATTTTTTAACCTTATTTCGGTCGCATGCTGAATAAGAAGCGCCTTTCGGGTCAATGTATGTTCCTTAAGAATCATTAGCTTATGGTCAAGCTGTTCTAATTCCCTTTTCAACTCGAAATTTCTTAACTTAGCTGTCACTCTGCCAAGCTCTATTGTTGGACATGATTCCCTGAGTTTAAGTTTATCTGAATTCAGTTTGTGATATGGTGTCTTTTCAGCTGAGTCGGCCAAATTGTCGCGGCTATCTGAGGGCACATTGTAATGGTCGGACTTTTGCGTTTTACCGTGTTCTGCTTTCATGTGGGCCAACATAAAATAGTCTTTGATGACGCCCTCCAGCTCTGAAAATATTGCACTAACTGCAACTATAAAACTTGGGTCCACAACTCCTCTATTCCGCATTTCCGACTGACCCCAAGGCACTTTTAGATAAAGTCTCTTAATTTGTCCGGTGCCTAAAAAACAAAGTTGTAAGGATGATGGAAAACATTTTGATGACGACATACATTTCGCTAAAATTCTGGAAAGGTCGGCCATCTGGTTGCTTTGACTACCAAAACACTCACGAAATTGGTCGGCCATGAGTCTGATCAATATAATTATCTTACCCATACAGCGCATAGGGGGAGAATCATTCAGAGTGGTGTTCCATTGTTTCCACATTTGACTTGACATGGAAGCAGCATTTAGGTATTTAACTAGTTTTTTTATCTCACAGAGATGATCTTTTATAGCTTCCATTGGGCCGGAATATGCTTTAAGTCGAAACAAAATTAATTATGAACAATATTTGACATTTTATGCAAATAAGTCAAATAATTTCGAAGATATTTTTGTACAGTTTTATTATTGTATGAGCTTTACAGATTAATAGTTACTTACATAACTGTATCTATTATACACTCGTACAGTCTTTGGAATATAGGCTGATGAGGCCCAGTGCTCAGACACTATAACTGCTAGAGCACCGACATGTTGTATCCAGACTTCTGTGATTCAAAACTTCGCCACATCCCCTTCCGCCAGCACAAAGGACGCAAATCTGTGGGATCCACAATTTTAAAGATACGAGAAAACCAAAAACGCAGAAACATTTTGATGTAGTCTCCCAAAATTCCTCTATCCGATATTACCATTTAGGGCTGCATGGACTTCCTCTGCATATAATGTGATTTTTTATGGTACTGGCTTCGGAGATTTCCTATGAAATTCTACATGTCTTCCAGCTCATTTTGGTTGTGGCATAATGCTCCATTTACCATGTTCAAATGACAGCTATTTAACAAAAGCAGGTCTCCTCGAGCTTTGAGAATCCCATTTAAGATGGACGATCCCAACTTCATGGTCCAGGAGTGCTGCATTACGATCGAGAGTGAGGTAACAGCTTCTAAGTGCCGCTTTAAATCGTAAAAACCAATCTTTCCATATGGGCTTCTAGAATGTTCGGCAGTCTGAAACTCATAGAGAACTCGCTATAAAATGTCAAAATGTCGTCAAATATCTGTGCAGCCTATCCACCTCTTTAAATGTCTCAGGTCCTCACACTTTTGCACCTCACTGCTTTTGGCTTTGAAATATGTTTCATATTGAGCTAACGCTCAAAATTCGTCTCTTTATGAAGCTACTCAACCACTGAGTTTATGCTTGCCTTAGCTAATTTTGCTTGGCGTCCTTTACAGGCTTTTCTTGGAAGAATCATTTTTCGTATATAAGAACGTTAGTTGCAGCCTTAAAATCTAGAAAGTACATATGCATACACATCCTCCAACTCTTGGTAGGCACTTACTCCGTAGCCACCACCTTCATCGGCTCAGCCGCATTGTTCCATTGTTTCACATGAGTTTCAATTCAAATAAAGAATCGGCTCATCCTATTTGACAATGCATGAACATTATACATATGCCAAAACTTTTAAAGAGGAAATTTCATGCAAAATTTCTATTTCTTTGGTGCTCATACCGTAGCTCTTATATCGTCATCCCGTTGTCTAATCAGTCCTTTTTTTAGTAAGGAAGTGTTTTTTCTGTTTTTGTTTCTTCACGCTGGGGTCTGTTTACACATAGATGGTACTTCTTGATGTTTCTTTTATCAGTGTGTTGGCTGCATCTTCGGTTTCCATTTCCACCCTTATTAGCATTTCCTGTCCGCGTTTAATTAGAAACCTGGGCTCCTTTGTGTTCAGATTTCGCTTCTGATGGTTTTCTTCTGGTTTTTAGTCCCGCCATCATTGCCGGCTCCGTCCTACCTGTTTCTTCGGGTTAACATTCTATTCGACCTCTTTGCTGAGATTGAGATTACATATCTCCTGGTGTGATGAATTTTGGGGGTGCGATGTAGTCCGCCTGGATTGCTGCAATATATATTGTGTCACATGGTATGTACTGCTTGCACTGCTTCTTAGCCTACGCTACTGACTCCTCGTACTGCTTGTTTTGGCGTATGCTACTTCTTTCCGATCTGTTAGCCTCCTGCTCTCTTTGAGTCCGACAAAAGTTCGTCATTGAGTTGGCTGAGAGTCGACCATTTTCATATCATACCGACATACGTGTGTCCATCATGGCCACAGCGAAAGGGAAGAAAGGGAATATACATATATATTCTCGCACACGGCAGCAGCCTCTGCGCCTTTCTCTCTTGTCTGTGACGCGCTCTCCTCGAATCCTCGCTTGCATTAGGACACGGGTGATTCGGTCCCCTTCCCTTTGACTAGTCTGGATCTTATCACTCACCTCTCGCACGTCTATTGCGACCCCCCGCGACCATCCGAATTCGTGCCGTTATTAAACATTCAACACCCCTTGCCCCTGCCAGTCGAATGGACCTCAAAGACTGAAAACTGGATGTTATATTAATTACAGGAATGCTTATGTTGAGCAGGAGCGCGTGACTTTCCTGAAGATCGATCTGGCCGATGCAGTGAGTCTATTCCTCTCTGTATACACTTTCATATCTCAGTACTTACTCAACACTTTTCGCTCAATTGAATTCAGGGAGACTACACGCTAACGTTAATTGTTACTGGTGCACATGCATGTTCACAAATGGGGTAATTCAATTCCGCCCATTGGGAAATTGCTTTGAAAAGAAAACACGGCCCAGAAAATTCAACGCTTTGCCAAATATACCTTAAAGGCAAAATGGTCTTTTTGTCAGTTGGCACAGGTGTTAGCGTAGATGGGGGAGCCCACACGGGCCAAGTAATGTAGAGGGCACCGCCGAAGCTCCTCTTGTGGGTGAAGGTTCGCTGAATGCAACATGATTTTTTCCACTTTTGGGGCAAGGGCTTTGCCCAAGCACTGCAATCTGTCGCTATGTATATTATAAGTTTTTAAAGCATCGAGTTGTCTAACTCTGGAACATTTTTTAATTTAAATTCCCAATTCGTTTGGCCTTTTAAATAGTTCAACGTATTGTCCGTGATGAGATGCTTCGCCATGTTATTTACCATACAAATACAAATTCGAAAATATATATAATGTTATATAATATGAATAATATGCAAATATGTAGTTATTAACTATAATTTGTCGAAGCAGCTGGATCAGGAGGTGGAGACGGTGCAGAAGAACACTTACCATATGAGGGAGATAATACTCATTGAGCAGATGAACAAATTTGCATTCTGAAAATATGTCAAGTGCGATACGAAGCTTATTTTTCCCTCAAACAATTCCGGCCGCTTTAAATAGTTTATTCATTTCTTTAACTCCTCATCCACAAATGGCACTTTTTGGAAGGTTCAAAAAAGGTAGAATATTGGGCAGAAGGGGCGGTGAGTCGGGGAACCAGCAGCAACGTTATATATATGTTAATTTCCTCCTCCCACACTTTGCCGGCGCAGGAGCCTGCGCTGACTGATTGTTGCTCGAGGCCGGAGATGCCGCAGCAGGAGGCCTGGACACTGTATCAGGTATACCCAGCTGTCGTTGACTTCGAGAATGACTTCATAGCCGTTGTCTCCAAAATCTAAAATAAGGAAAAGAAACCATGATAAAATATTGCTCCTTGCAAAGAACTGCATTTAATTACACACTTGTTGCTGCTGGTGAGCTTGCCGTTGGATGTAGTGCCAGCGGCTGCTGGCCAGACGGCCACGGCTGCTCCTTGAGGCTCTCCGTTTTGGCAACCTTTACCAGTTGCAGCTTCAACTGTAGTTTCTGTTGCTGCTTCTTGGCCTGAACCGACGCCGTATGCTGCTTCTTGAGGCTATCCATCTTCACTTCACTTGCACTTCGATTTTATCGGCTCGAAATTGTTTTGAAGTTTTTGATTTTGCGAGCGCCCGATTCGCTTTTTCCACAGTTGAAATTTGGCTTTGCAGCCGTAGTCAAGTCAGCCTAGTAGACACCACACGCAACTATCGAGTGTTCTAAAAACATACGAGACAACAACCGCACCACACCACATAAAACTTCACGTAATATACTATTATTAATTAATATCAATCAATTAATTAACATTAATATAATTATTGTATTACGTTTATTTGATAATTTATTAATATATTATAGTATATATTTATTTTATTAAAACATTATTTCAATACTATTGAATCGATTTTGCTAGCGATGGCCGCGGAAAAATGCAGGAAAGAATTGTACGGACGGACGGAATTCCAATTTTTCAAATTTTGAAATATACGTTTTATAGTGAGATCTAACAGGAGTGTGTGGTTACTCTAGCCTTAATAGTCTCTGAGATTCCCCAGATTTTCGTCATTTGCGGGGGCGATATTTTTAAACTAACTTGTCAAAGTCCGATATCACAGGAGTGTTTATACCAAATTTGGTTGCTCTAGCTCTTATAGTCTCTGAGATCCTTGAACTCACATTTTGCAATAGGCAAAGCCGACCATGAAACCTGTGTGTTAGAGAGAGACAGAGCGAGAGAAAATGTTGTTTGTTTTCTTCATTCTGGCTATAATAACAATACGATCTGGTTCAGATTCTGCAGTCAAAAAGATATGGTAATTTTGTACGATTCTGCTTGTTTTAGCTTTCTCGTATCCTTAAACTTGTGAGTGCCACAAATTTTCGTCCTTTGTGGGGGCTGAAGTTGGCGGGGCGATGTTTTTAAATATACTTGTACTCTACTATACCTAATACCTATATCTACCTATCTAGCAAAGCGGAAACAACGGATACCGACGCGGAATCAGACACCGACGCACGGACCTGATCACCTACGGGATCACGACTACGCGCAGTCCACACAACTTTATTTCTACTACTTCAGCAGCGACGCTGATAACTTTGACCTATGTATCTACGGACAGTAGAGCATAGCAGGTGATGCCAAGGCCAAGAGAGAAACGGATGGTCTGTTCTCTTGTAGCCGAATATTTTCTTAACAACATCGTTATAATTATTGACATCAGAAGATAGCAGACATTTGTGCGAAAAATGAAGAATTGGGCGCAGAAACTATATAATTGTCACAAAACCAGCGTTCGAGCCGAAAAGAAAGGCAAGAAAGCTAAGTCAGGAAGTGTCGTCGCTGCTGCTGCCCCTGTCTCTTCCGCCATCAACAACGGTACCGATCCAGAAGATCCTGCTTATGGGTATATGTATTTGTATTTATTGTAAAAGTATTTAAAATTCTCAGGTGGAGCCGGACTCAGCCATGAATGACTCCACCAAGCAAGGATAAATTTCGCGGGAGCAGACTTACCCTCCTCCCATGGACAGAAGTCTTGTTCTTTCAAGTTTGTAAATTTACAAAAATGTAAGTATGTATATAGTGATGAGAGTTGGGTTGGGTGGTTCCATCTGTTCCAGTTGGAATTTCACCAAAAATTACCGGTCATCTTCCTCATAAATTTGAAAATTTACAAAATTTTGCCCTTTGCAAGCCTGTGGAGTGAGGAGCAGCTGATCAATGCTTTAAATTACATATTGCAGGGCAGTCATAATTTACAACCATCAGCTCTACCAGACTGACCCGTTTGTGCTGAGCCCCGATGAGCTTCATGTCCCTTTGAATAGGGACCGCAGGACGTGGAAGTTGAAAGTGCAACGCATGCAAGGTAAAATACTGTTGGGTCGTGTCTGCTCCTACCCGGCGACACCTTTCACCAACTTGCACAGGCCCAATAGCACGGACGTGGAGCTATGCGGAGTTCGAAAGAAATCCATACAGATTTGTGGTCATAGTGGTGGCAGTGTCAGAGATGGACACTCCCAAACTGATGCGGTCAACCCTAGATAGGCGCCAAAATGGGTCCTTTCCAGGACCGCCAAAAATTTATACAGAGATATATATTTTCGAAATATAGACGCTGCTGCAGTCGAATGATCCCCGGCTGATCGTTAATTGGGCGACTGGCTGATCTAATTGATCTATCCACTTGTGCCGTGGCAGAAGATGCTGCCTGATGTTCATTGAGCAGATGCAGCTTTGCAGCAAAGCAAGCTGAAGAGGCACAGCATTTGCTGTGAAGGACCCCACGTTGGGACGATTCTCAATGCGTCAAGAGCTCTTCTCCTTGATAACGAAGATGTTTTGCACCTAAAAGAAAGGTAAAGGAATGAAACAGATTAATATAAGGATCAAAAGATATATAACTTCTCTAAATGCTCACATTATAAACTCCCTGAAGCTTTCAGCCCACTCCTCGGCGGTCTTATCAGCAGGCCAGCGCGCATGATTAATGTAGCTCACAAAGCAGATGCCGACCATACTATTGCCATCCACCTCGCAAAAGGCCATTGTGGTGGTGGTCAGCACCAGAGGCAGCGACCAAGCAACCAAATGAAAGTTCGAGCCCTTCTTGTCTATGCGATCTTGGACATGACCCATGTCGCGCCAGTGCCAGGCATAGGTGAGGAACACAAACCAGACCATTCCGGCCGTAAGGAATTAATACACCAGCACAAAGATCACAATGCAGGAGAGATTCTCTCCGGCGGTGGGCTCTGAATGGCGAAGAGTGCCATCCTTGCGACAGACAATATCCTTACGGGATCCTGAAGAGAGAGAGAGAAAAACAGAGCATACATGAGACTCCTGTGGGACGAAAGGATCTGTGACCCTAAGTGGACTAACCCAATGCAGGCAATCAGGAAGCATAGATTCATGTAGAGCTTGCCTGCATTCTGCCAGTCGATGGAAAAGGTGGCCACCACAAACAGATTGGAGACCAGGCACAGCGTGCCCCCCTATCCAATCAACTTGTGGATCGATGCTCATCTTCCGTGTGCCAAGGGATTCTTGCAGCGCACATCACATCCCTCGATGCCCGGATAATGGCTACCAGCTGACTCAAGCACTGTCCGGTTACATTGAATTTCATGCCGCGCGCACTGTTTGTGCATTTCATTGCACGAATTTTCAGTTTCCAAAATGTCTAACTATTTAATCGGCACGGTATAATAAAAACCATCTCATTAAAAACCTGCTCTTAGACCAAAACAACTGCTAATAATTAGAGTTGCCAGATCTAGTGCAATACATCAGTGTTGTGAATCTCTCCATATTTACGGTATATTTTGAAAATGAGGCGGTATGTTTCGGTATATTTCTGAGGGTCGGACGGTATATTTTTATCGATAAATCCGCGGTCACACTGCCCACTACTCCGCCCTGTCTCAACCCTCTGAAGACGAATTCTTAGTGGATGGTGGTGAAACAGCTGTTCGTCTTAAAACGGCATCTGGACACCGGCGTCTTCAGGATTCTGGCGTCTGGTGCGTCTATGTGGAATGGGGCCTGCTTCACCTCTGCCTGTACCTGTGCCTGCCGCCTTTCTGCTGTTCTCGCGCCAGAAGCACATTGGGCCGCATCTCGACCGAGTACAGCGAGGGGATACCCTTCAGGATGTGGGCGATGCGTACGCCCTAAACGTGTAGGTGGCGGAGCGGTGCATCTACTGGACTGACCAGCCGCATCTACTGGTCCGATGCGGAGGTTCGTCTCATCGAGGTCGCCCGCCTGGATGGCAGCAGTCGGCGCGTGCTCTTGTGGAAAGGGTTGGAGAAGCCGCGTTCCCTCGTCCTCGAGCCGCGTCGTGGGGGTACATGTACATGGGCAGACTCCATACGCCGCGCCACAATGGACGGATCCAACCAGCAACCATGGCCGGGAGTTCATATTCGACCAGGAGACGAGACGCGACAAGAAGCGTCGGATACTGGTTGTCTGCTAGGACTCCGTGTACTGGAGCACCGGGGACATTGATCAAGACGGGCCAGAGCCGCAGCCTCGCCAAGGACTTGCCCTACATCCCCCCAGCTACGACAGACTGCCCGAATGTGCCGCTGCCGGTGTCCGGCAAGAATATCCGTGCCCAGGTGAAGCTCTCTCTCCTATTCAGCTGTGTTCTAAAACGTTGCCTCTTTTAGCCTCGCAACATTACCGTGCATGCTCTTCTCGACAGAAGTCGGCAGCCATCGGGCCCGAGTCGATGGCAATGAGCGTGTGGAGCTGGACGGAGTCACGGCGCTGGCCCTGGACCAACAGTCCAAAATACCATGCGTATCGAAGTTATAGACATCAATGGGAAGAACAAGTAAGCAACCATATTGGACACCTCTGGAAACATGTAATCTCCTGTTCCCTCTCTACAGAAAAACCTTTGTTTCCATGCACATCACGCAGGTGAACAACATTGCCGCCTAGGGGGGATTTGTGTACTGTCTGGACGACAAGACCGGACTGGAGACGATCACTGTCAACGGAGAGCGTCGTTCCGTGGAGCTGCAGCGCCTGCCGCAGTTCACCAACATCAGTGCCGTGTGGACACCGGATGCGAAAGTGCTGCGCAATCACATGGCACAGTCGCCCAAATTGTTTCCACATCTGCATAGCCAGCAGTACGCAGTACTCACGACGTCTGCTCGTGCCCCAAGCATCTGATGCTACTGGAGGACAAGGAGAACTACGGCGTCTATCCGGCCAGATAATTTAAATTGGCGGGAGTTCAGCTGATAGTCAGGCGAGGGCTCTGGTCTGCGATGGTACCACCTGTGACAACTGAGACAATGGCTACGATGAGGTCGACTGTTGCAAGCGGCCAGCAGACTTTCAGTGTCCCGTCAACAAGGTGAGTGAAAAGACACGATATCTGCCCAAATTCCTAAACTAACAATATCCTACTCCATCTTCCTACAGCTTTGCATCGGCCGCCCTGCTCTGCGATGGCCTTGCCTCGGATATTTTCGCGCACCGAGCCAAAAATCGAGCTTTAATGGCTCCATCGAAGAAATTAAATAAGCAGTAATCATAGCCAAAAATAATTTTAAATCACTGCATACTGATATTTTCCTCGCAGGGAAGCACGCCGTCAAGCACTCCCTTTTAAACACTTTAAAAAGGCAATAGAGAACCTGCCGGATATTGCATCTGAGGTGCAACGCGACCAAGCTGCGGATGAAGATGGAGCAAAAGACTATGGATGAGTATGCCAGGCTACCACTACCACAATTCCTTCTACAAGGACCCAAGGTCCGAAGGCGACACCAGTTTAAGGTACGCGCTTGTCCCCAACGAACGAAGGACAAGTTGCTCAGCATGCCCAAAAGCGGAAGAGGATGATTCGCCCGAGAAGTTTCAGCATGAATAGGCAAAGTAAGTATAAGTACCACCAATTGTATGACACATTGACACATAATTCTTGACCATTGACAGAATGGGAAAGTTCTTTTTTCCGGTTACATTCTACGCCTTTGCAAAGTACGCGGACAAGGAAACGAAACCCAAACAAATAAGCACGGAAGAAGTCAAGCCCGATGGCAACACTGAAACGCCTTCTACATGGTTATGGAAAAGCGAAAGTCCACCAATATATTCCCTGAGGCAACTCCTGGCTATCCTGTTCATGAAAAAACAGTAAAGTTTTTAGCGGAGTATAGTCCGGATAAACAGTCCATTGATATGAAACAAGAAACACGTATTTAAGGATATATTTATTTTATATTTAAGATTTATTTATTTATGGAAATAAACTCATTCCACACCACCCAAGAGGTCGAGTTTTTGGTGCGTTTTTTTTTAAGTGGTATCCCCAATAGGTCTAATCCACTATATTTACTTTCAGGGCGGGGCATCAACCGTCTGGGGTGTCTGAAAGTATGAAGTTATTAACAATAAATGTAATATTAATCGTCGAATTTGTACTTCCCTTTTTCCAGGTATTCGTCAGTATCCGCTGGACCTATAAAATAAAAATAAAATAACCAAAAAAAAGGGAAAAAAGTGAATATTAAAAAAAAAACAAAAAAGGGAAATATTAAAATAAAGTAAATATTAAAAAAAAACTAAAAATAAAAATATAAGAAAAAAATATATACATATATATATTTAAAAAAAAAAAGGTTGGCGCCTATCCATGAAAGATCGGATCAGGATTGCGAGTTGCCATTTCCGTCGTGCCAGTCGTAGTTCACGTAGTTCCACAACTTCGATGTGCTTGACCACTTCGTTCAGGGCGCGCCACACAGCTCCAGGTTGAGGCTGTTGAAGCAGGACAACGTGGTGAAATATGTCACCGGGTACGTGCAGACACGTTCAACTAACTTTTGGACCTGTTCCACCTCCCTGGCTAGCCAGTCCCGTATTTCCTCCTGCTCGTCATGAACAGACGGATATATCGCGTGCCGCCAATCGTCGCCTGTGAAGTGCAGCCCGTACAGTTGATCAAGCCGTTGATCGACCACGCCGTACTGTTCCGGCAAAAGTTTGCGCAGGTGAAGGACATCCCATAGCACAGGGTACTCAAGGGCGGCGTTTACATTTGCCAACAAATTGGGGCATCCGTCGGAGATGATGGCCATCAATCGCGGGCCATATCCATGTTGCCATATGCTAACCAGCACCATGGAGACACTTTCGTTTATAGCATCACTGCCCATGACATTCTGCGATCCCAGGGCAAGTTTAAGATGCAAAACCTGAAAGTTGGATCCATCCAAGTAAAAAGCTGCTATTGCAGCTTCCACCTTCCACTTGATGGCTCCGCGCCTATCCCACTTATCGTGCGGCTCATCGTATATCTGGAGGTTCGAGATCAAGTTGATCATGCCTCCATCCAGTTCATGCGAATGCGCCTCACGCATGACGTAACTCGATCTTTTTTTGAGTATAAGAATAAAAAGTATAAGACTTCCTATTAAAGGAACTAAAAAGTTTGTTTTTTTGCTATATAAATTCGTTAAATTTAACGTAAGAACGTGCGTAAGAACAAAATGAACACCAAAATTAACCCAAAATATATATATTTTCTATTAAATATAATTCTCGATTATTATATATTATATTATTATTTATTTATGTTTAATGTATATTTGCATATAATACAATGCAATATATTCAATGCTCTAACATTAATTCGCTCACATTTCTTTCTAACCCAACTAAAACTGAAATCGACCGAATCATAAATTATCTAAAAGAAACCAATTTATATCCATTAATCTAATTCTAATATAAAACCCAAGTAATATACATCATATATAATAAATACAATATAATTAGCATAATGTAACATAATAATAACATAGCCGAAGGTCATAACTTCGTAACTCAATCGTACCAGCCATTTCAGCCGGAGAACGAGCCGCGAACCGCCGATCAGTCCCACCCGCAACAGGAGGTGAAGACCAATCCGACGGCAGAGCAGCAGCAACAACAACAACATCAGGCGCCTCAGATGCAGCCGCTGATGCAGCAGTCGGCCGCAGCCAACCAGTGGGTCAGTGGGTCGCTGATAACGCTGTCTGGCACCGTGGTCCAGATCGTGTCTATCTCGCTCACCTCCCCGCTCAGTGAACAGCAACAGGTGAACGCCCAGCAGCAGATGCCACTCCAACAGCAGCAGCAGCTGGAGCAGCAACCTCCCATGAGCAGCCACAGAGCAGTCTGGGAGCACAACAGCAGCAGCAACAGGTGAACGCCCAGCAGCAGCAACAGGTGAACACACAAGCTAGCATACAGGGAATGGTACCACCACCCAGCCCCGTTGTTGGTCCCAGGATGCCAGCTTCGCAACAGCATCACCAGCAGCACCACCTCCCCGACGGCAGCACCGTTCACATTCAGCCCATCAGCGGCGGCCAGCCGCAGACCATACAGCCACCGCTGTGCGCTGGCCACCCGTTGCACAGCAGCAGCACCAGCAACAATTGAGCATGTTTGGTCAGGCAATGGGCCAACAGCAGCAGCAACCACAGCCAACGCAACAGCAACTAGTGGTTGCAGCCGCAACCGCCAGTGGCAACAGCACAAAAACAATTTCAGCAGAATCTGCCGACTTACGGTCAATCGCAGGTGCAGGTGCAGGCGGAATAGTTTGATCCGTTTGCCAATATAACCAGTAGTCAGAAGGCGGCCTCAACCACGGTAGAACCAGAGCAGCAGATAATGTCGCCGGCACATGTAAGCTCCCCAATACCACAACATGTCACCGCAGCCACAGAGCAGTCAGGGACAACAACAGCAGCATCTTTGATGTCCTTGAGCAGGCATCAGCAGGCGGCGGCACAGCTCAACTCTTCGCCTCAGTACAGAGTGCCGTTCCCGCCAACTTTCGCCCACCGTAGTCACCGCTGTGCAACGTAATGGCGGCTGGCAATGGCCGCCTGACAAGACCAAAAATGCTGGAAGTATTTATGTCGAGCCCTGATCTCCAAAAACGTTTTGAAAATGTGCAAAAATGGAAACACTTCGGAATGGAGATGTCGAGGGTAGAAATCCGATTGGTGTGCGATGGCGTCCTCAACCTGTTGGAACCCACCCGCACAGACTACCGGGACCTGGGCAGAGAATTGGTTCAGCTCTGTCCCGAAGAATGTGTGGAATTCTGGGCCCCGATGCACAGCGCGGGACCAATCTACGAAAGGAATCGTTATAGACATTTGACCAAATCGCAAAAAGCTGAAAGAAATGTAAAGCAGAATGAGAGGAGAAGAAGAGCGGCTGAAACCAAAAGAAGGGAGGAGGAATGTCTGCAAAAGCAGATGGATGACTTAATGGAAAGTCTCGAATAAATGCAACAAAGCCCAACCTTCGCATTTAGGGAACTGGAGAAGGAGTGGGGAGGTGCAGGTCAACTGGGTGGACAAGAGCAAGGTGGTAGCAGCGCTGGTTCTTTCTGAAGAAGTAAGTAAGAAAATCCATAGAGAATCAGTATAAGGCCCTAATCGATCGATGGATCCCCTTTCAGATACAACGAAACGAAGGACGAGCACATGGCGACGAGAATTTCAACAGCATCGAACAATGAGTTCAACTTCTTAACTGCCGTCTGTCAAAAAATATTACCCTTATTACAGACAATGTAGTGGAAGTCTCAAATGTATTATTAGGAATTGGGAAGGGTAGATGATACTTATTGGTCCAGCGAAATCTGGATATGAATTCTAAGGAAGCCCAAGAGGGAAAATATGCGAAGCCTGGCACTAATTGGCATCGCTTAGCATGCTAACGATAATTCGTCTCGCCAATTGGCCCGGGGAGATGTGAAAACGATCTTCTAGATCGGACCCCAATCGATTGTCTCCCAAGGTGTATGTAAACAGACGATTTAATGGTGGCTTCAAGTGTGTGTCTTGCAGTTGCCATAAGTTGCCTAAATTTCTTTGACCGTATGGAAAAGTATAGTTTTTTTCAACACCCCTTTAATAAATGTAGGATATAATTTTTAATTTAATACTTTTCAAAGAATGTTATTGAGGCTAGTCTTCGCAAATCTTTAAGGTTCAACTCCCAATTCTGATAATTAGTATTGCATTTAATTTAAATCGATCGATAGAACGATGATAGCCAGGGTACTAAAAGTTTCGTGAGTCTGGACTTGCCTCTGCTCATTTCTTGCTGCTACTTTTCGGATTTTGTTTACCTCTCGAGTCGTCCGTCACGTGCTGTTTTCTATTTAATCGTTAAGATCAGTGATTCAGACTCCATCTTTGGGTGACTTTTTCACCGTCAAACATTTTTAAAAACTCTTAAAAGACCGAGTGATCGACCTTGGGCGACTTACATTTAGACAGATTCGAAACAGGTTCTTTGCTTTTCTCGGACTCTGTGTCACGTTGGGGCTTTGTTTGTTTTCTTTTTTCGATTGCTTATATTCTATGCCCCCAAGAGACGGGCTTTAATCAACAACTGCAAGTTTTCGCCTTGCCTTTAATATATGTACAGATGTATGTATGTAGAACTTCACCAGGTATAGCGTCAGCTCCAGTGGAGATCAGACGGCAGACTAGGTCGGGTTTACCCGCTGATCAATCGCACAGCACAGCGTTTGAATCTCAAACGAGATCGCAATGTTGATCTCGAGCGCTTCACTACCACCACCGAGCTCTCTTTCTACCTACATATGTATCTTGGTCGTATAGAAATCTTGCTCCGCAGACGTCCTCACCCGGCTGGCGCAAACAATAAACTGATTCACATTCACAGGTTTCCAGGGATCAACATGATCGTATAGATATAAAGAAAGAGTGCAAATAAAAAACAAAAACCCAAACCCAAAATAAGACCACGATTCGAGTATCTAGCGGGTACTAGCTCAAAGATGGAATATTCATATGCAGCAACAGTTAGGGGAATCTTATCATGGTTCCAGCTTTTATCGCTTACGGCCGTCGAGTACGACGCTGGGCTCACCAAATCCACCCGTCGTCGTCTCACTCATCTGCGCCAAAGTGTTATCAAGATCCAAATTCACTCATTGCTGTCCAGTCTAGATAAGCCAAATCAATTCGGCCTCTGACGCAGACCAAGACACTACACTTCGCATGGATGAGAATTAATAGATGCAGAATGAGTGTCGGATGTATTTATATTTTCATATTTATAAGGTCGTTTCCGACTCCCCAAAACTCTTTCTAAAAATATTAGAGATCTCGCGCTTATCTGGAAATTTTTCTCTCTGTAAACTACGCTTAACCGTTTTACCTATTCTTTACCGTCCGGCATATTTTTGTTGTTTTGTCGTTTTCATTTAAGAGAAACTCATTCGGAACGTTTTTTCGAGTCACACGTGCCTGCCCATTAAGATATCCGGTAATCTTCTTTCATATAGTTTGTATATCGTAAATGGTAGAGCACCTGTTCTACTTTTGTCAAGCTCTCAGAAAAAGATGGCTAGAACACTTAGCCATCATACACGTCGTACACAGTATGTCCCAGAAAGGTATAAAATTTCGATGGGATAACTGTTGACATCGTATCTCACAGTGGAGAAGTGGAGAAGATCCGATCTGATCGCCATTCTCTATGGTTGTCCGTTTTCGGTTTTCCCGTATCTTCGAGATTGTGGATGCCAGAGATTTTCGTCCTTGTGGGTGCTGAAGGGGGCAGATCGAATTTTTGAAATACACATGTAACAGTGTGATAGTGTCTGAGCCTCTAAGATATAGGCGCTCATGCAGACGGACAGACAGACATGCCCGACATGGGGTCGGAAACGCTTCCTTCGGGGTGTTACACACATCCACTTTCACCAAAAATATACGTAATATAACTGTTGAGCCACTGAGCTTTTTCAGCAGCGTAGTTTGCGACATATTTGTATATGAAAGGCGATAATTGTTCTGTTTAAAATTTGTTGTTTCAAGGGCGGTCGGGCCGAGTTCCCTGCGCGATCGATCGAGAGAGCGAGATCGGAGGAAAGAAAGAAAGGCGCGATATAAAGGCAAGAGAGAACGGCTGGATAGGCTACGGCTGGCTTAATCTATTAATTGGGAACTATTTGGCTATAACCCTATACTCTTTGAGCTGATATTTGTGCATCACCAACCTCCTCTTCTGAGCATATTTTTTCGGACTCTTTCAAACTCTTGCGAACCCTTTATGACCCACTTTGTTGCCTCTTTATTGTTTTATCAATAACACCGACTTTGACGCCACAATCAGTCAAAGTTTTGATTTTGATCTGCTCTTCCTTAGATAGTTCGTTTCAACGAGCTATTTTAAACGTAAACTAATCATTTTGCACCATTATCAACTTTCTTTGGAAGTTATGCCCTGAAATTGTTCTTTGTGCTATCGGTACTAGAGACTAAAAGCTGATAAGAAATAAATGTATGACAAAATACACAACATCACGATTAATTTTACTGAGGTACTCTTTGGCGCTGGCATATGGCAAATGGCAAAAATATGTATGTCGACTTATTAAATACATTGCTTTCATATTCCAGATTAAATGTATTCTTCAACAGGATATTGATAACGAATAAGAGAGTTTTTGATACTCACAAGACGGACACAAGACACAAGACATGGCTCTCACCTTTGCAAGAATTTCTATATATGCATATTGAGACGAATCTAGATTAAGTAGTCTGACTATTAATTGTATCATGCCGGATTATATTAGAAATAGTCTGTCTTGTCACGAAGTTGTTTAGAGCAACACATAAATCCTTTAGAAAAAAAGTCTCTCTATATAGTTAAAATACTCTCTGTTTTCATATTCTCAACCCGGAGAGTACGAACTGTATGAACTGTAATTATATGTGCTTTATGGGTCTCAAACATACAATTACACGAATTGAATACTCCTATACTCTCTAAGCTGAAAAATACTTATAGTTTCAGCATTACAGTCGTTCGATAAATGTCTAGATTCCAATTAACTCTAAAAAGAAGCAGCTGTTTGTTTATTGGGAGACGCGGTTGGTTGTTAACATCTTTCGTTCATTTCTTTCGTGCCGTTCCGCCATTTTTACAAACGACACCCAATGAATTAATAGCGTAACATTTTATTGGATGTACATGTGCTCTTTTAGCGTTGCCATAAACCATAAGAAAATTAATTAAGCCGCCGAGATAGCATTACGCCATCAACCCTACCCTCCCCAGGAGCGTTGTGAAAGGGATGCTGTCGATGCGGGGGATGATTGTGATTGTTCCCGTACCCGAGGGATGAACGATTCCTACGGTCTAATTGGTTGCTGCTGCCAACTTCAACTAGTTCCACCTCGGAATAAAGGGATCCGCAGAATTGTGCATACGAAATATTTTCTGTGCGTGCTAAGACACAATATCAAAAGGCTGCAGTTAAAGGCAAGTATGTATTTTGTTTATTTATTACATTGTCTTCGTGATCTCCTGCAACAGCATTTGATCTGACATTAGCTACACCTCAAATAAACTTATGAGAATTTGTAGATCAGATCCTATAATCCTGATTTCAAAACTGATATACATAAGTCACATCATTTTCAAAAACGCTCTTTCTTCGTATAGTCATATTTACACTGCACTATTTACACTTTAAGCTAATTTAAAATCTACGTTGCATATACACAAAAGTCTATTTAATACCGTCACGGATCGGATGTATGTACATATAGTACATAAATGTATTTAAGCCCTTTACCGAAAGCTTTCATATTGAACCAACTCTCTCCATAAGATACCAGGGTAGAAACACAGTTGCGGCTACAACGGCGACACATGTGGCGCAGAAAGCAATTGTCGTTGAAAGATTTGAGATTGAGAAGTGATCTTCTTTTTCCTCAAACTCTTCGTGTGGATGCTTTTCAAACTCCAGGACCTCGACATCAAACCGAAAGCGCACTTTCGATTCTGGCGACTCCTTGCGCCAAACCAAATGTCCCGACGACTCGCGTCGCTCCAGGCTCCATTTCGGGTCGTGGACTGCAAATAAAAAAAAAAAAATGGTGCTAGTGATTAACCAGAAAGGTAGGCTATTTCGGTGACCAAGGCTTTTAATATTCTAGCAGATCCTAATTTTGTGTAATTAATACATTTATGTTAAAAATTAAATATTTACCTGATCCAGTCATTATGCCTCGTTGACCTGGTGATATTGATTAGAGTCTGAAATTATACAAAAGTACCGTTACAAATATTTTTGCTTGAAAAGAGTTGCGCTGCTTTAATATAGAGTGGTGTAGTTAGGTACAATGTACGTACAATTATTGAATAGTTGGTTTTCTTTTTAAACTTGCATGCTTCACATGCAAAACCTATAGCTATTAATGAATGAATGCATTTGAAATGGATCTTAATCCTCACAGGTACGTTGAACTAGATTTTGATGAGCTTTATGTTTTTCGCATAGCTATGAAAAAACGAACTTTGGTTGTTGTAAGCTGGTTGGCGGTTTGTTAGCTGTAAACGAAAAGATCCCATTAGATGTGAGGAAATGTCTGCAAAGTCTGGATTACCCTTGATTCGATAACCCAAAAAAATGGTTAATCAACACAAAGAATTGATCTTCCGTACATTTCTCTACGGAAAAAGTTGCAGCATGACCAGTTATTGTTGACCAGCTTTTAAAAAATCAGGCGACCAGTTGATTTGAAATTGTAGTTGCGAAAACTTTTCTTAGTTATTTAATTATTACTTATTATTTGAAATAATTATGAATTATATACAAACAATCAAACAGATTAAACACACCTTTTACATCGTGCCAAAATATTACAAGAGAGCAACGATTTGAAGAACAAAATAATCCTACTGATATTGAAAATGTAATTTTTATCGATGCGAACGCTTCAATTTCTGCTCGGAATTGAACATGAGATACCATGTACATAGAAATAACATAGTACCACAGATACTATGGGTCTGTCTTCCAATATATTGGAAAGAATGAAGACTTAACAGCAATATCATTTCAGTTTTTCGGCATGCTGAGTGCACAACATTTCAATTCAAGAGAGGGAGACCAGCAATATATGTACGTATCTTTTGGAAAATCATGCAGTAGTAGTGAGAGGTATATATGTATGTAACGCTGTACAATGGTTTTTTTTTGTATCTAATTGGTGACAAGCCAGCTTAAGATAAACGATAATTAACGGAAAAAAATGTGCCCAACCTTTCTCCCTTCGAGAAATCCTGGGTAAGCCCTTCAATGTACATATGTATATCTCACAACAATATCATGAAAAATATTTCGAGAAATGTACTGCCCGATAACCTCAGTCAGTCTCAGTCGCAGTGAGTTGATAGCCATGACAAGCGACAACTCACACGTTCCAGCTGAACTTCGTCCATCTCATTAGAAATTCCGGCACACTATCAACTACTGAAAGCTTTACCCAAAAAGCACCGACTATGCGAAACTGTATTGAAGTTAAATGTAACCCTGTCCTTCACCGTCCAATTGTCTCCAATGAACAAGTTACTGCCGATTGGAGAAGTGCCTGTACCGAAGGCAGTACATGAATGAGCCACATAGACTTTGGACGGTTAAAATGCTTTTGCAGTTTACTCACTCACGTAGGTAGGAAGACACCACCTGACTTTGTGTACACCCTATACACTATACAACGGTATATTGTATTCATAAAAATATATATAAATATAAAACAGCCTAAGGGAAGGATACTGAAAATGAGTATAGAGTTATATTACATTTGTGGTGAAAATGGATGTGTGTAACGTCCAGAAGGAATCGTTTCCGACCCCATAAAGTACATACATATATTCTTGATCAGCATCAATAGCCGAGTCGATTGAGCCCTCGAGTCGATTGAGTCCGTTTATCCGTCTGTTCGTCTATATAATCGCCTAGTGCTCAAAGACTATAAATGCTAGAGCAACGACATATTATATCCGGACTTCTGTGATATGTCACTATTTCAAGTAAATTTCACCACAAAAGCAGAAAATCTGTGGCATCCACAATTTCAAAGATACGAAAAAATAGAAAACGCAGAATTGTAGATGATGATTATATCTTCTAGAGCGAACAAGAAAGGTATAGAGAGTCTTTGTTATATAGGAGTCGTCAGATTCCTTTGACCACCTCTTTATAAACCCAATCACTCCCTTGGCCATGGTTACCATGGTAGAAATGTGTTCAGAAAACTTTATCTTTAACTTTAACCCCAAGATCATCCACCAGGGTGATTCTCTCAAGAGAACCACCAAATAGAGTATAGGGAGCCAACAAAGGTGAAATTTCATAACTTTGCATTTCGAGGCGTTAAGGTGTAAAAAGTTATCACAACACCATGACTGAAAGTAATTGAGATCGGATTGCAAGTGAGAAGGAAATGAAATGTCCTTATACTGGACACACAGTTTAACGTCATCCACTTCCAATACTTTCATAAAAAACAAATTCTATTTGGATGCAAAGTCAACATCGGAACAATATACAGATTTTGTTTTCATCTGCTGATCAGATTTCTGTTTTCCTGCTATATGGCGGTTTCTACGTATTACTATTACTATTACTATTAATATTACTACTACTTAGTAAATAACTTGTTTTTAAGGGCTTCAAGCGCCGCGGCTCTACTTTATACCCACAACTCAGTCAGTATGTTTGTGAGCTTCTGATTAATGTAACCTATATAATATCTTTTATACATAATTATAACTGCCGCAAACCCATGTTTAAATATTAAAAGCCTGATTCTTTCGAAGGCCAAAGCTGTCAGTACACAATATACCCTTTCTACTAAAAAAACGATGGGTATATACAAAATAGTGGAATGTTACCTTCGTTTTTTAATGCCATTTTTGCATTTTTCACCAAGTTCTCGAACTTCAAAATAACATACGAAGGTCATAGTGCAAAATTAGCATTTAACGATGTGCTTTGCCTTGGATCTTGAATGCCAACATAACGAAAGCATACAAAAACGAATTCTTATTTCATTCCCAAAATGTTAACTTGCTCGCCATCAAATCTTTAAAGATCGATCATAAACAGCTGATGTTCGAACCAAACAGATAAGCAATTTTATTTATTTTTACTCGACAACACAAAACACATATTCTGGACTTTGTTCCAGCCATCGAGCTTTTGTACAATGCAATGCCCTGTAATTAATTCCTTTCAAAAAATACGATGCTTACAAATACTTTCGATCGTTTTCCAATAATATAAAGATAATGCCATATAAGAAACTCACACACATGAGTGCCTCTCGGTGCCTGTAATGGGCTTTTTTCATTTTAGCTGCTACTGCTCCCTGATAAGATTCGCAAAGAAAGAAACGACAGCGTCAGCTCAACACTTTAATCAATGAACTCATAGACCACTCAGCTGATTGCGAGCTTTTGGCAGACGCCAGTTCCACTACGCGCTGGTACAGTATTATGTTCCAGCGAACAGAAGAGCTTTGCCATACACAATTACAGATGTCATATCTCGGGTGCACTGTGACACTTGGATATAGATGAAAAATATATACTGTAGGACTCTGAGCCACATTTCACCAGTTCAATTATTAGTCACATCAGAATCAGAGTGCAGTGCAGGCCAATATCCACTGTGCTCGAAACACAGAAACAAAGGACAAAGGTCGAATGGTTGGGTATTGGGTGTTGGGTAGCCTAGCCACAAGTACAAATACTACACATTACACTAGACACGACAAATTCACTGGAGGTACACGCCACACGCGCCGCCTAAAGATAAGAGTGGAAAGACCTCATTCGGTTAATTGATGTACATACGCGCAAACTTGTACATACATACATACATATGTATGTCCGTATGTATGCACATAGATCGTACATCGTATGTTGTCAATTAATCAATACATTCAGTGTCAATGAGTCAATGAAGGCCTCATGCTAATCGATTGTTCAACTGTAGGAAAGTGGCGCCACTAGCAACCGACGAATACGAGTGTGTCAATGTTATGGTAATCATTTACAACCAATACAACACACTATTCTTTCTGCCACTTTTATTTTTAAAAGTCGATGGTGCTCAACTGCATGTAAAGATGTAAAGCTCGACGTGTTTTTGTTATTACCGCCTTGATTGATTTTAAAGCTCATCAGCGAGGCCAAGCACAGCACCGATTGCGGATTGCGCATTAGTCACACAAAACAGACAAAAACACACTCTCTGCCACCGGCGTACAGCGGACGTAGCTGTCGATCTTGCAAGCTCTTGCCGAGTTTGCCCGCGACGAACTATTAAAGTCCATGTATGAAACCAGACTGCCGATACCGCTCCGTCTACATTCCGCCGCAGCGCCAACAGTAGCAACGGGAGCCGCCGGAGCGAGCTCCACCGGCCCGAGAGGGGGGCTCGCCCTCGCCTCACACTATTGTGCTGTGCTTTTTGCTGCTGCTCGCAATAACCAAAGCGGTGGCAACTACAACTACCCAATTCGTTTCTCTCATCTTTGAACGGAATATGCTTTTAGATGCGAATATTTTTCTTTGAATTAGTCTTTCATCGCACTTTACGGCTGTATAAATATTCGAAATATTATACATAAGTAATAGCTGAAACCGTGCAAGAGGTAGTACAAGAGGTAGTAAAGAATATATACTAGAATCTCTGGCTCCATATGGCATGTACATATATAGAAATTGATCAGCATGAAGAGCCGAGTGTATATATGTACATAGGTCCAGACCACTGGACCTCAGTGTCAGAATCATTTAGCAGCCATAGGAACCACTTGTGAAAAATGTTGAATATTTTAAACACGTACATATGTATATATGTATGTATAATACCTACTTAAATTCATGGAAGACTTTCCGATCCTCCAAGAATTCGTTATCAAGGCTCTTACTTACAAACATTGCACTCAATATGCTGTATTTTTCAAATTTCGAAACGAGTCGAAAGCATTTTAAAACTGATCCAATCCACACTCTAAGCAGTATGAATTACACTAAACAACAAAATCGAACAAAATTCCACCAACCAAACCGACTCTTTTAAAGATTTTATATTTTTTGTATGTTCTTTTAGAGGTAATGCCTAGTTTTTCACATAGCTTAAGAATCTTAAAATTGTTCTTATTTGTTCGACACTTTTCCACATAATATCGTTTTAAAAAGACCTAACGTTACGTTGTGATCCGTAGCACACGTGCCGCGACACAATTCTACAAGGTACTCTGTATGTATGCAGTCATATACGTGGGAGTCAGCCACGGAAAATTTGTTCCCCATTCTTATCATAATAAGGTTCCAATCGCAGCCACAGTCAGCACTCTGGTACATTAAATAATTATAAGACTATAAAAATATTTATAACTTATTACTTAAGGGGTTCGGAATGGAAAATAGGTTCCTCTGTTACATATACATCAGTACACTTTAACGAATTTAATATACTCCCGTCCACTTTAAGTACCTAGAATCGTTTCATTCTTTTTTTTTTTCTTGTTGCTTTTTGCCTTTTAACAAATTAATTGCCAAATTAAAGTAATGTGAAAAATATTAATAACTGACATATGTAGAACGATCGATCTGTGTGGGTATCAAAACCTTCTGCCAAGAAGCTACCATCCGTTGTTGGGTTAAATTTACACATTACAACTGTCAAATGTAGGGCAGGTTGTTGTCACTGTCAAAGAGTAATTGAGCTCAATTGAGCATACGCCTACCCTAATATTATACCCAGCCCAGCCGAAATAGCTTGTGCAGGGTAACAGCATCCACAAAGAGAAAACAATAGGTGCTGTTCTCTGTGCTTTATTTTGTTAATCTCGACATAAATACATATACAGTTCTCCATGTGCCTGTGTATTGAGTGATACTTGCCATACTGTCTGATCTGATTGTACTTCCAGTGCGCTGTGATGACAGCTCTCTTTGCATACATATGTACATTCTTACATACACATATATGTTCAAGTACACACAAGTATGTATTTAAATAATAAACTCTGAGCGGAGAGGCTAAGATTATCTGCGCGGAGCGCGAATGAATTATCATTTTCCCTTCGACTGCCCCCATCATTGGACCAAAACGAAAACCACCAGGGAGCTCTCGGAAGACGCATAATGAGGTCCGGGTCCCGAATCCCAAGCAAAGAATAACATCGTAATCAGAACACACAAGCATATACATACATACATATGTATATAAACGTATTGTACAGTTCCCTGTTGTAAGTATCAAATATAGTTATGTCTCGAGCAGCGACATCTGAACGGTCCAACTCTGAAGACAGGTAGGTGGTCCCTGCACGTCTAGCGAAGCAAATGATTTCTGTATCTTGGTCTCACACCCTGAAGTAGCAACGCACATACTTGCTTGACCGAGGTGCTCCGGAACTGTGCCGATATTCAATCGCTAGAAAGCTTGAGCCTGCCCCACAGCTACGACTACTACAACGAGCGGAAGATGATTTCGCCAAACCCGTATTCTTTCAGCGGGAACGTGTCAAATAGCAGCTGCGCCAGCGACGACGACGTTTCCTTTACAGACTGTTTACTCGAAGACAATGGCCGCATTTCGTTGGCCTACGAAAATCTGAGAAGCATTCCAAGGCGACTTGCAGACAAGTTCGCAGCACAGACCAAGTGTCTAGATCTCAGTCATAATGACTTTCGCGATCTGAAATTTCTCTCCTTCTTCGAAAACCTGGACACACTGATTTTGGACAGAAATATGAATTTGGACTTGAACACTCTTCCTTATCTACCAAGCCTAAATATATTGTGGTAAGTCATCTGCATCGATTATAATGATCACACTGACACTGTTGTCACTATCTTTTAGGATCAACAACTGCGATATCTCCAATACCGACTGGATACACCGGATCGAACGCAACTGCCCGGCGCTGGAACAACTGTCGTGCATGGGCAACATCCGCACCGCCGTTGCCAATCAGGGTGCCGAAATAGATGTCGGGCGCGACTATATTCTTCAAGTATTACCCAATCTTAAATATCTTGACGGTGTGCCGGTGCCGGTTTCCGTCACCCAGAACAACGGGAACCGTAGCCCTGCTGTTCTCTTTTCCCCTTCCCAAGGGCAATGCCAAGACTCAACGAGCCACACAGGCAGTGGGAAAATTTCCACACCGACACTCGCATTCAAGAATCTCTTCCGGCTCAAACCATCCACAAAGCCGCATGGTCTTGATGGAGCTCGAAGCGAACAGATGTATGGAAACGGCTCGTCCACAAACTAACATAACATCAACAAATGGTTCGGCAAAGGTCATATGCATTTGTTAGCCTATGATATTTGGCCATCCATGGAATTATTAGCGATGCTCTTCTTCCCCAGAATGCTGCAGCCCTGCATTGCACCTTCCTAACAATGGATGCACATGTGTACAGGTATATGATAATTGTCATTAACTAAATATGTACACTTATGCTAATGCAAATAATTACTGTATGCTAAAAAAGAAACCTAGCGTCATAAAATACATTTTTACAATGCAGCGACTGAACATCAGTAAAGTAAGTGTTCTTCATGAATGACATTCATGAGCTCTACATTCACAATCATTTGTCTTATTTTTATTCATTGTACAAATATTATAATAAAGACGACGTCAAATCAGCACCTGTTATGAATGGTTTTCTTTTCGCCTTACAGAAACAGCGTCTCCGGCACCATAAACGCACATATGGATGTACATATATCCTTAATATTCACACGAAATATATATTTATTCCGAAACCACAGTCATTATACAAAAAATAAAGTATGTAACTGTCACATGAACAAAGAACACAGAGGTACATATGTATATTAAATTCGTGGCAATGTCTGCAATAGACAGAAGAGTAACCGTCGAAACATTCCGACTGTAAATAAGTAAACATTCTTGATAGCTAGTGGTATCACACCAGATCAAGTTTGTTTCAAATTGAAATAAAAATTCGAGATCCTAAATCCCAGTCTTGTGCGGTAACTTCTCAAAGTGCTCGCGTCCCAGTCCGCTCTCCCCCCACAGCTCACTCACTTTCAGTAAGACTCGCAAAACTCCTCTCATCAAACATGTGATTACAAGACGGAGTGGAATGAGTTGTGTATATTCTATAATAAAGCTGAAACCGAAGCGATTAACATGCAAAGGTATTCAAATCTTCAGCCCAAAAAGATAGAAGTACTATTGTGTACAAGCAAGCCATATGTTGGTTCCTATATGAATAAAAGAGGAACAAAGAAGTTGAAATACAATTTTTCTCATCTTTCTGCACAGTTTATTTCCGAACTATCTTCACGCAGTCAATTTAAAGATTGATGCGATGCGCAGAACTACTGAATAACTGAGCATGAAAAAATACTTACTCGGATGCAGTGCTTGATTATGTTCTAATTTACACCAGGCTTTTTTTTTAAATATTTTTATATGCTAATTGTTCAGAATCAGAAATTGAAATGTTATTTTTGAGAATATTTGGAATTTTTAGACAGATGTTGCACAAATGAAGTTACCAATAAGTGCATCTTTGGGTCAATTTGACTTTATTTCCATGTTTCCTAATGCTGCCTCCAACGAGAGAATTAATTTCTCATTGTTTTTGATTGAAGACTGCTTGGCGGTATGGGACGAAACTTGTTCCAGGGCCCACTGTGCCAACTTGTGCGACTCTTTGCGCTTGGAACTTACTGTTTTAGAATTGGCCAAAAAGTTGCAACTCAAATAAAGGCCATATAGGGCACGCAAATTGTGAGGATTCAACTTTAGAGCCTGCGAATAGTACGTACGAGCTGCTTCAACATTTTCAACGCCACCCTGCAAGGAGAAAAACGAATTGTCCCTCTGTTTTCATTAGAATTATAGAACTAACTCACCATAGTGTAGCGTATCTCTGCGAGTCTTTGATGTATTAAATGGCTATGAGGATTGTGCAACAAAACTTCCTCCATGCAAAATGCTGCCTTTCCGTACTCGCCCTCGGCCAGGTACATGCTGCATAGCTCGTGCCATGCTTCTTGATCCGACATAAACCTGCGAAAAGGAGAAATTAGCGGGAATTCCTCTCCAAGGGATTATAAAGAAATTTGTACTTTTTTAGATAGTCGTTTAGTTCTTTGATGGCTTCAACTCGACGACCACGCGCCTTCAGTATAGCAATCTTCCTTTTCCGGGGCGCAGCATTTGTCTCATCTTTGGCTATTATGGCATCCAGAACGTCATCGGCCTCGTCATATTGTTCAAGTGCTTCATACCGCATCGCTTTGAACTTCATAACGCGCAAGCTACCAGGAAACTCCAGGCTCAGCTGCTTGGTGCACTTAGTGGCAATGTCGAATTGCGCCGTGTCCAGTGCCGCTATTATTACCTGCTCCAGAATCAGATGACGCTCATTGCCAGTTTTATGGACTTTGTCTTCGAGTACCGCGACCCAAAGCTGGACAACCTCCTCGCTATGACGTCCGGTTTCCTCGCGCCACTTTCTAAACTGGTCTCGCACATCTGAAAAAATGGATAAGTTTTTAATATGCTTTTCCAGCTTATTTAATTTAAATATTCGCATATGCATCTGCATACATACATATGTATTTTCTTTTGTACATACGTACACATGCAGATAGAAAGGGACACATGCTTAATTTAATTTTAGTCAAATACGCCCGTAAGCTAAATGGAACAGCAAAAACTTTACCTGACCAGCTCATTTCCTCATAGTTCAGGGACATTTTTACTAACACGGCTTTATCTTTCTTTTACTTTAATTTATGTCAATTATGTTAAAATTTGAGTTCAGAAAAACAAGTGTTGTAAAAAACGAAAAAAACAAGTGCTGTAAATCGCAGTTTAACCCACCTAAGCCACCTTTAAGACACCTCCATTTAAACGAATGAACAACTTAATCTAAACCACAGAAAATAATACTGTTTGTAAATTTTCCTTGCAGATGCACTTACAAAACAATGACAACGATATCTTTCACCAGAACTGCGCGAGAAATCTTTAAGTTTCACCATTTTAGTGGGTAAATTTAAATACCTACTGTTCTTAAGTGGGTTAATCAGAATGATATTTCTCGCATTTTATTATTGGTTTAGTACTAATAATATTTATTATTGGAAGTGCGCCAGGCACGCTCTGATGATAAGCACTGATTATAGCGTGGTACCATTGTAAGTTTATTGTTTGCCTTTTACGCATGTAACGCTTCATAATTCATTGTAAAGGGTTAATCTTCGGCTCTATCCACAGTGTAAAAGCCTTATGTAAGACAATTTTTTAAATTTCCTTTGGAAATTTTTGGGTCAGTTAAAATATAATGTATAATGTGCTTCGGTGACAATTGTCAGTACACGCACGAGGTTAATTGCACATGTATTCGTATCTTTATTTGTTCCTATTAGTTGCTATTTACGCAATGTAACTTAACACAATGGTATTCAGCTTGAGTCCTCTCCAAGCGCCGCTCGCTAAGCTAAGCTGTTCCGCCTAGGGCTACTCCGGGCGTGGCAATCGATCTCGACGCTTGCCTTAGTCCGCCGCACCACCCGGATCTGGTGCCAGCTGCATCCTGCACCCAACGCATCCGACGCCACTACCTTGCCACTCAGCTCCACTGAGATTTTACGCGAACTGACCCGTTATCGCCCTGAACATCGTGGCTCCTCCCCTAACCTCAAGCCTGTCAATCTTCGGCATCTCCTTTTTCCGCCTTGCTCCTCCTGCTTCCCACGCTTCTAGTCGACCGCCACTGCTGGCGGCTTCCTTGAGCAGTCGATCTCCAATCCAATAAACAAGCAATATCCTTTTAGGCACAAAATTAATATATAATGGACATATAGAGCGAGAGGACAAGCTGAAGTATGGAATTGTAATCAATCTGCTGAAAGACAGTAATGAAACGATAAATTCCTACTAAATTTCTGATGAAAACGAAATCAAAATAGTATGTGAGCAGTCAGCAATCAAAATAAAAGCAGCTTCAGCGGTGATATTCGTATTGACACGTCTTTGGTCACACTGTGGTGTAAAACACGATCATCGATATAATTGAAGAAGCATCGTATGCATGTCTATCGCGTAGCTATCATCCCCAGTTGTTTATAAAGCAGCACATTCAAAATTTCAGGTTTATTAAAAATTCTTTTGGCCACAAAGCGGGCGACTTCCGCATGTTGGATGTGAACGAGCCGTCCATTACAAGGCAATAGACGTAACCAATCCGAAAGGGAAGATAATACAATGGGGCCTCCACAATTACAGCGCACTTTTCTGGGCTTCGACTTGAGTACACAGAAGGTAAAACATCCGCAACTGCCTACGTTGTATTTTTCGTTGCAGAGGCGTTGCTTCTATTCCGCCTGCTTACGCCTTCAGCTTCAACCAAGTGCGTGTTATTGAGAGAGGTCATACAACAAACACGGCACACGAATCTCATTGAGGCACTTCTTATCAATGATCCACAGCCTTTCTTATCTATTAGCCGCAATAATTTTGCTATAAGCGTATGTATTTTTATGCCAGACCCAGATGCCACCGGTTAACCACCCAAATCAATGGAAAGTCATATAAAATGACGCAATCTTTGACACTTACTTGACCTTAGAATCCAAGTAGCTGTGCTTGATCGTTACTTTTAAGGTGTGCCCTACAACTATTTTCAGCTGAAAGCTATTCTGCTAAACTCCAGCCTGACAGTGGTTGCCTCAGCCGAGGTGAAGTTCGACAGCGACTTGCCGGAGTTTCGAACCAGTGGTGGAGTCAGCCCCGGACCCAACAAACATGAGTACGTCCAGGCCTAAGCACCTAAACCTGAGTGTCCTAAACTCCTATACACGACCTTATTCATCAGATTCTTTGTGCAGCCAGTGATGTGGGTGAAGGCCGTGGACATTGTCTTGGACCGTTTGGTGATGCAGGAGGCTGATTTAAGCACTGTTGCAGCCATTTCTGCTGCGGGACAGCAGCATGGTTCCTTGTACTGGTCAAAGCACGGAATTTCAGCTTTGCAAAGCCTTGATCCCGAAAAGTTTCTCCACGCACAAATCGATGACTCGGCATTTGTGGTCAACCGCACGCCCATTTGGATGGATGCGTCAACCACTAAGCAATGCCTGGAGATGGAGACTGCCATTGGGGGGCACACCCAGATGGTTCAGCTGACGGGCTCCAAGTGCTACGAGCGATTTACTGGACCGCAGATACGTAAGATCTACCAGCAGCGCACTCATGCCTACGAGGATGCCCAACGAATCTCACTGGTCAGCAGCTTTTTGGCCTCACTCTTTTTGGGAAGTGTGGCACCGATCGACTTCAGCGATGGCTCCGGCATGAACCTGCTGGACATCCGCGAAAAAGCCTGGTCCAAGGCCTGCTTAAATGCGTGTGCACCTGACCTGGATGAGCGTCTCGGTCAGGCGGTCAGTGCCAATACTGTCCTTGGCGGCGTTTCAGAATATTTTGTGAAGCGCTTCTGCTTTCCGGCGTCATGCCAAGTCGTCGCTTGCACCGGAGATAATCCCTCGGCCTTGGCAGGAATGCTAGTGGACAATGACTGGTTAAGCGTATCCCTTGGCACTAGCGACACTTTAATGATGAGTTTTGAGAAGCCCCCCAACTGGGAGGAGGGCCATGTGTTGTGTCATCCAACGCAGACGGACGAGTTCATGGGACTGTTATGGTAGGCCGGCATTGTGGAAGGATAACGACACACTTACATTTGCTCATCCAGTTTTAGAAATGGCTCTTTGGTCCGTGAGGCTATGAACAATGTGGAGGCTGGAGGGGATTGGGTGAAGTTCAACGAGCTTCTTGAATCGACACCGCGCGGAAACTTCGGCAATATGGCCGTGCATTTCAACGACATGGAAATTATTCCCAAGGCAAAGGGCACATTGCGATGGAATAAGGATTGTTTGCCCAACTCCCCGGATGCTTCCAAGGGTGTAATAAAGTAAGTCATTGAATATTTTATTAGCTGGAAGCCTCTGTCATCTTGATAGCTATCCGTGGGTCGTTATGTTTTGACATTGCAATAACTAACTCTGGGTACCAGGCTTACATATACTGTATTCTAAGCATGTGTCTTACCAATTCTTTCTGATTGAACAGATTTAGCTCACCTCAAATCGAAATTCGTGCCTTAATCGAGGGCCAAATGCTTCATCATCGAGCTGTGGCCGAAGACATGGGATTCCAGTTTGGAACAAACACAAAAGTCCTTGCTACTGGAGGAGCGTCCATAAACAAGTCTATTCTCCAAGTAATCGCTGACGTGTTCAACGCGCCCGTCCATATTCAGGTAAGTTCGCACTACACTTAGCATTCGTGTAATCGAAATTACCATTTTTCAGAACGAGAGTGAGGCTGCCCTAATGGGAGCCGCCTACAGAGCATCCTATGCTCTGTATCGGCATGAGCTTGATCAAACTGTTCCTGCCCTCAGTTATCGCGACCATGTCCTCAGCCTAACGTCCAACAATCTGCAGCTTGTTTGCGAACCACACAAGGATAGCGAATCAATTTACGCACCAATGCTCGAGCGATACAAGGCCATGGCCCACATCCTGCAAAGCGGAATCCTGTGAGCCACGGAACAAAGAACCCAAGGCCACATTTTATACTCCAAAGCATTTCCGACTTACTCTTTACTTTTATATTCCACCTGACACTAATAAGTAGAACTAAAGTGCAATTAACAAAATTCTGTGATCGAGAATTTATTAAAAATTTATGCGAAACCATAACTGATAAATTTCTACATATGGAGCACAGCACTCTGCACACGGCCATGCTGAGCTGGGACCTATTCGTCCCATTTTGTCTCCAACTCGGCTTACTTCTTGCGGCCACCGCGTTCCTTCACCTGCAAATGCACTGTCATCCCGTTTAGCAGATTGTAGAACGCCATCGAATTGCTGTCTTTGAAGAACATTCCCTGAAAATCGATTCTTGTATAATTCCGTCTAGCCAATATACAAAAACCCAACGCTTACCTCGTAGAAGATTTTTTGCTTGGCCGGAGGCATGCCTGTTTCATCTTGCAGCTTCGCCTTGAGGTTTGCGATAGGGTCAGTGAGTGCTAGTGTTACAGCGATCATCTGTCCGTTTAGCTTCCACTCGGACTTATCCGAGTTCGGCACAAGAACCTGGATGGTGACGGGGCTCTGCAAGTGCGCGGAAAAGGAACACAAAAGGAATTATTATCGATTGGACTGTCCAGTGAAAACATAAAAGGAAGGCTAGCTTTGGGGACCGAAGTTCTTAACACAAACTATGGCATATAAGTATACTTTTTGCAGCAAGAAAATGAGCGTTTGCACAGATAAAGCAGTGCATCATTTTTTAGGATTCGACAGTTGGTGCTGACCAAAAAAGCAAATGGATTGCATGTGGCCAAGTAAAAATATTAAATAAAACGGTCGGTAGCTGACCTTGTGCGTGGAAATGAACTCCGCTTCCGGGATTAGATTGTCCTCGGAGCGCAATTTCTTTGTGGGCGGCTCTTCCTCCACGGACATTAGATCGACTGGCGGTGCTGGTGAGATTTGCGGGGGTCCTCCAGTGGACTGCATGTTCATATAGCCTCCAGTGCCAGGGCCAAATGGAGTTTCTGCAAGAGAAACACGTTAAAATTCAGGAATTCTAGTTGGATATATTTTACTGCATACGCATCATAAGAGGTCGCAATTGCATCATCATGACCGGATTAGCCTGCGCCTGGGACTGCTGGTGGTGATGGGATGGATGCTGGTGTGTCTGGTGCTGCGGTGTAGATTGGTGCTGCTGTGGCGGATGATGGTGGTGCAGATTGTGGTGAGCGTGGTGGCCACCGCCTTGATGATGCTGACTCTGGCCATGGATGTGTTGGGGCTTGGAAGACGGCTGTGGCGGAGCCGATAGCGTGGCTTTATTTCCGACAGGCTTAGGGCCAATCTTTTCCTTTTCCTCATCTGGCAGCAGTCCCTTAACCTTGTGTATTTGATGGATTTGGTCCTCCAGAGTGATGTTGGCACGCGCCGCTCTAGTAGCTGCCTCAACACTGGATGTGTGGCCGTCCCAGGTAACGCGATCATCCTTTTTGGTCTCTTCTTCGCCAAGTTTTTTTCCAATAACTGTTTCCTCGTCGCCAACACCAAAAATATCGGTACGCCTCTCTGCCAACTGCTTCAGGCTTGCCTCGATGGCAGTACCTGCAGCGAAGACATTGTCCTGGTTGATTTTCTCGACAGTGTGCTTGTCCCGCTGCTCCACCCATCGCGGATCCAGTAGACCAATGCGCATGTGCTCCGACACCTTGGATGCCGGGATCTTTTCGCCAGTAATTGGAGAAATAAGGTACTCATCCGTGGGCAAGGGGGCTGCCTTGGGTTGGGTGGCCTTGGGGTCATACTTCTTGACCACAACCTTGTCGTGTGTAGGCGGCAACATGGGGGCCACCGTGGGCTGCAGTTTGGCCACCGGCGTGTCCTCGTCACTCGACGCTTCGTCCATGTCCTGCACCTGAGTATTGTCCCGTTTGGCGCCAACTGGCTGGCTGTATGATGAAACATTCTTCATTTGGATGCCCACTCTGTTCTCCATTTGCGACAGCTTGAGGCCACTCTCCAAATGGCTAGCCACCTGAGAGTCGTCTTCTTCGTCGGATTCGATTTGCATTTCTATATCCCCCTCCTCTTCCATAAGGCGCTCTTCCATGAGGACTCTGGCACCGACCTCATCTGGATTGGTAGGCGGGGGAAAGTTGCCTGACTCGAATGGTTGATAGTCCACGGTCTCTACAACCACAAAATCATGCCAGTCAATCTGGGCGTATGCTACACGTTCTCTCTCAATTTTTTCCTCTTCACGACGGCGTTGCGCCTCCTGGTGGCGTTGCCAGTTGGCGCGGTATTTAACCTGCTCCAGTACCTGGTTCATGCTGCTACGCCCTGGGGCGCTTTCTGTGCGAAGTTTTCCGAGTAAATCCTTGGGTGGTATGAGCACTTTCGTATACTGCTCCAATAACTTGGTGAAGTACTGAAAGAGCGAGTGCTGCGGTCTCAAAAAATCAAATTGAAAGTTTCGCTGCTCCCGACTCATCAGATTGGTAAGAAACTGTCGCCCATTGCGGGCCACAAACTGAGCAGTTAGCTTCACAATGTCTCTGAAAGAGATTCAATTACTAAGTAGTGGGCCACTGATTCTATGTCCAAAGTCACTCACAAGTCCAATGCCGAAATCGAAGGAGGATCAGCAATAAACTCAAACTCTTGTGGAGGCTCCTTGGGTACAAATTGCTGCTCCACAACTTGCTTCAAAAGTTCCTGCTGCCGCTGCTGGGCAGCACTTGTGACCGCGGTTAGTTGTTTGACGGCTGTTATGCCGGCATCTGAAATAGTATTGGCATAGAATAACACATCGCAATTTATTGCTGTCTTTCGCGTACCATTTCCCTCTCGAAACTCGTTCACCTTGTGCCTGTAGTAGGCATGATAGGGATCTCCACCGTTCAGAAAGTTGAACTTTGGGTTCCCCAGCTCATTTTGCCGGATGCGTGCCTCAAACTCAGGTCCATTGCGTGCTACAAAGCTTGCGGTCTTGTCAACGATATCTAATTTTTAAACTTTTCTTACTGAGTATGTGGAAAACAAACTATATTGGCAATAACGTCTACAAATGTACACTAAAACAAGCATAAATAGAAAAATTATATTGTTTTGTAAAGGATGCTTCTAACTTCTGGCGGCGGGTATATTATGCCAATAATTGGTCCGGACATTGGCTTCGATTGATCATTTCCGAACTGCTCGTCGGTAGCGTCGACATCTAGAGTTGGCATTGCACTTGAAAACTCCTTATTTTATTGATAAAATGATAAAATTTATGGATGAAAATATGCTTCTTCGTGAGAAGATTAGAGGTGGCAGAAAGTCGATAGCAATCTGTTTTTTAAACATCGGTTCCACTATCGATGGTAGTCGCTTGTCATATATTTCGCCAGCGGCACAGTGTGACCAGATGTGCAGGCACTGCAGCGCATTAAGCTGTGTTTTGTTCAAAATGTTTAATGAAAAGTTTTAATGCACAATTTTTATGAATTGTCGATTGGTGACTATTACTGGCGTCGTTCTAGTACCAACAATATTGGATAAATCTATACTTGCGGGACATGTTGATGATCTCGATATAAATTAATAAAATTAATCAATTATAAAAATTCTATATTATCGGCCTTTATTTAACTGCACTTTCTGCACTGAAACTTTCTAATCGGCTTGCTCTCGCCCATCCGTTGATTTTTTGTGAAATTAATCGGTTATAAGTTTTGTCTTTGAACAACCGGCTGCAACCGAATTTTATTCAATGCCCAAAATTGTTCCCAACTAAATTTATTTTCCGATTTTCCTGTTATTCATCGGTATCTTATTAGATTGACATACTGGTTGGCTAAATTTCTTTAGTTTGACGGCCTTTAAATTGTCATAATTTAAACAAATGTGACATATGACCTGCTTTCAAACGGATTCAGCCCAACTTCCATCGTATACAACATTAAAACTTTGGGTGAAACAATATAAATCCTAACCAGGCGCGGTCATCACAGTGTTACACCATTGGGAAGTTCGACGATTCTCACTAGAAATAGGAGCCATTTCTGGGAAAAATGTACCGAGTATGAGAGAAATATTTGAGAAAAAATGTTCTGATCCATAAGATCAGATACTTTAGTGCTACAAGTATGGTGTTGCTAGCAGCTATAGGGGTGTTTACTTTGCAGAGCTTTATTGAATTTAAACAATTTTCTACTAAGTGCCCACGCTGGTGTCTTACACTCGCAAGTCGACTTGTTATTGCCGAGAGAGAATTCGCTCCCAGTCTGATTATGACGCTCATTGCGCCTGATAAATGATCGGTTCAGCGGTTCGAGCTTGTAGAAATTTTCATGTATTCAGTAGTCGTCTATGAGCTGCTCTCAACCGTTGACGTCCCAATCAAGTTATCAGAACAGCTCTGAGTAGCTTCTTCTGAAACGCAGTTCGCGCTACTTCCTTATCAGTCACTTGCTACGTGACTTAAATTACATTTATATATGTGTTGATCCGCGTTTATGTAGGCGCATCTGTGAATCACATAAAATCCCATTTTTGTTTTTAAGGAATCCATATTCTCAAACAAAGAACAGCAGTGAAATGTGCCTAATCATCTACCTTTGCATGCTGACTGTTGTAATAGGCACGTCAGCATCTTCTTTGACTAATCGGTTGGAGCTCACACATCGTAAGTCCAAGAACTTGAGAAACATTATCAAAAACGATTTCTGAAACCCAAAAAGCTTTAATATTGTAAAGTGTATGTTTAGTATTCTAGAACTTAAACTTCTCTAGTCTTTAAAATATATGTAAAATGTAATATATTTACTTTGTATTCGATTAATCAATTAATACTATAAAATAATACAAAAAGCAAAATAAGGGACTTCGACCCTATAGGTGTACTACATTCGAACTTAGGTCTTACTTTGATGATTTCTGTGACGCTTATTAAGAAAATTTACAAACTACATTTTTGTAAAGTTATACTAGCCGATGCTAACTTTGATGCGAAGTACAAGTTTCGAGCAAACGAAGGAAAATATTCCAATAAAAGGTTAAGCCGAAAAAGAACTTCCTCAGTTTATCAATTGAACTGATTGCTAATGATCAAGTATTCTTCGTTCGTGTCAATTCTGTAAACAAAGATCTATGTAAGTATCTCAGTTCCACTTAAAACAGATTCACACATGGGAATGAAGTCGGCTCTCCTGACGTGTTAAATTTGACATGAGGTCGTGACTGAAAATGTGCGATGAGTTGAAATCTGTACAAGATGGAATTTTCTTTATGAAAGCGGTACAATTTTCATACCACAAAAAACATACAAACAAAAAACAAAACGAGTTGTTATATCTTTATAATATTTCCTATTTATCACCGGTCTACATCTGAAATACAAAACTGTACTCAAATTCACTTAGCGCGTTTTAATACACGTATTAGACAAATTCTAAATCCATTCGTACGTATTCTATTCTTAAAAGGAGATCATTTATCATTTAATTTATGGAAGGAATACTCTGCACTAGAACATAATTCTAACATTCTGAATCCGCTTAACCGCGTTTTTTTTTTAATTTTTCTCTTGCACTTAGTTCACTTAGGAAAATAGGTGCATGGCTATTATAATTTACAGGTTGATTTACAATATCAAATTACAAGCCGAAACCTATGTTATAATATGTTCGAGTCTTAATTTTTTAGCACGACAAGCTCTAAGGCCGGATGTACAAGCGCACTTAGACGGGCTTTCATCGGAAAAATGGCAGGAGCTCGTAAGTTCAGGCTTGGACTCGATCAACAGACAAAAAAGGTTCGTAAAAATGCATACGATATTTAATCAGCTAAATACGATTTTTTCTACATACCCTGACCGAGACGGCTGGCTGGCCCTGTCACCAGAATCGCTATCAAATAACTGTGATAGTTCCCAAAGATAATACAATATTTCCAACAATTTATATGTTAACCAGAAACTTGGAACGCACAGAAAGGGCATCTTAAATCCATTGATATCACTCAAGGGTGTAATAATAAATACGTCAATTCTCGACTTGTCATTTCAGACTGGAGGAAAATCTTCTCAGATCAGATATTACTGTCCGAAACGGAAGTCTCTCACATGTGCAGCTTCTGGACACATTGCCCAACAACGCATCAAAGGAAGACAGCGAAATTGCCCTAAAGATCCTCAAGTCTAGTCTGTTCGTCTATAACACCCAGTGTCTGCCCCATGAGATTGAAGGTGACGAGTGTCGAACATATCTGGAAAACAAGCCACTCCCTGAAGGAAGCGTTCTTCGATCCGAATGTCTTAAGCTGCTGAAAAGCAAAAGGTACGGTCATCATGCATACAGGAGGCTGCTTGTCCACCACTACAAGAACGGATTCTATGAGGTACGTTTTAAAAGTTGGATAGCAATGGGTTCACTTATAGACTTTGATGCTCCCAGATTTTTACCGAGGATCGATTGCCGGCTGCATGGTCTATTAGTATGGGACTTTATGAACCCGACAACATTCAGAAGGTGAAACAGAAGGCGCGCGACCAAGCAAATGGAGACCTTAATTTGGGAATAGCGCAATGGGCGCAGTTTGTGGAACACGATCTTAGCAAGCCCGTTTCACAATCTATGAGTAAGTTAATACCAAGGGCAATTTGCCATATTTTATAGTCAACTTCTTAGTCTAATTCTAGACGGAAGAATTTACAAGTTTCAACATAATCTAAAGAGTATTTCATTTGAGGATTTATATTTTCGCAGGCAATGGATCTCCGATAGAGTGTTGTAACCGTGATCAAAATAAACTTCAACCAAGACACAATCATCCGGCCTGTGCGCCAATTATATCCCAGGTCAGCGGGAATTACGGCAGGCCAAACTGTCTAAATTATGTAAGGAGCGCCCTTGCGGTCGGACCGACTTGCAACTTTGGCGGCGCTGAACAGGTGGGTACACTTAGATCCTTGGCTCGCATGTATGATTGATGTTTTAATTTCTATCCGCCAATAGCTAAACCAGGCCACAGCATACTTGGATTTGTCCCAACTATATGGCTTCACGCCTATAGCCGAGAGGAAGATGAGAACATTCGTTCGCGGAACACTGAAGTCAACATCCAATGGTTCACACCTAAATGACCTTCTGCCAATGACCGCCGATACGGACGACGAGGGACACTCGTTCTGTGCATGGGGGGCAAGTGCAAATGCAACATGTTTTGCGGCAGGCGACTCTCGGGTTAACAGCAATCCTTACTCCATATTGGTTTACACAATCTTCATGCGCAACCATAACCGCCTTGCCGCCGAGCTGCTGGTGCGAAATCCAGACTGGAGCGATGAGCAGCTTTTTCAGTCGGCCAAGACCGTGAATGTGGATATCTACCGACGCGTGATCATGAGGGAGTGGCTGCCGGAAGTGCTCGGATCGCGACTGGCCTCAGAGGTACTGGCTACGTCTCCACCAATCAGTCGCCAAAACGCTCCTGAGATATCTAACGAGTTCGGAGTGGCTGCCAGCCGCTTCTACTTCTCGATGCTACCCAACGAGCTCCATAACCTGGTCAAAAATGGTGACGATGACTATGTTCGAAAGTAAGTTGCTTCACTATATGACTGACTGCGTTACAAATCTTTCATTTTCAGCAAAGTGCTGCCTCCAACTAACCTTTTCGTGCTGAAAGATGAAATTTTCAGACCCCGACTTCAGTACACGGCAAAAAAGCTAGACGAAATCCTTTATAGTGTACTCAATCAGCGTGCCATGAAAATGGATTCCTCATATGCGGGTGATGTAAGGTATAATTTCTCAATCGATGCAACGCTCTAAGCATTGTCGCTTTGCAGGTCGTTTGGCACGAGAGCACGAAACCAACACATGCTGATATTCTAGCCTTCGATGTTCAGCGAGGCAGGGACCACGGTCTCCAACCCTATTATAAATACTTGGAACTGTGCAGCCACATTAAACAAGTGACAGACTGGAGTGATTTCGAACAATTTATACCCAAAAATGTAGGACTTTTTGTCTATTATTTGTCAAAGGACATATGTTGCAACCCATAGTAACCCCTATAGTAAAAAATCAATCTACTGTTCATTGAAAGGTGTTGGATAAGCTAAAAAACATATATGCTAGCTGGACTGACGTGGACCTAATTGTGGGCGGTATTGCAGAGCGGCCTTTGAACGGAACTGTCGGTGCCACCTTCAGCTGCATACTTTGTAAGCTATCATATAATCCTTTGTTTTTTTACTTTAATCCATGAGTTCTCATTTAAGCCGAGCAATTTGCGAAGGTGCACCAGCGACATCTGCAAGAACCAGATCTCCCGCCCTGGGCCGCTTCGTTGTTGGAGGAGTATCGTTACATGAACGGGAGCAAGCTCTTGTGCCTCAACTCTGAATTGAGGGCCACGCCGCAGAACATCTTCCAGTTGCCTTCCGCAAGGTCAGTGTATGGTGACTTCGCGCTGCTCAAGGGGCTCACTATAGCAGCGCCTTTGTCACCTGTTTTATGAGCTGAGTCATAGCATTATGCGAACTTTGATTTAATTTGATATCTACTTGAGTACCCTTGTGATAAGCTGGCCTGCAGTAATTACCTACGCCTAATAATAGACTTTCTTTCTTTTTTTCTTCACAGCAATCTACTGATCGATTGCGACAATGTGGTCTAACGGATGGCACAAAAAGAGTTGCCCCCGAGCATCCGGATGATTTAAGATGTTGTTACTAAGCTCGTATAATCATGAACTATGTATTTTGATACTTTTAATGGACCTATACGTATGAAACAGGACCTATATCTAAAATCTAAGGTCATACTTCCATATTTCAATTGTTAGCTTTTCAGGCCCATTTTTTTAATATGTTGTGGGTTTTTTTTTAAAACAATACGAGTAGTAAAAATTTACAGAATAATTTGCAAGATCTCAACAAACATGCCTGAAAAGTTGTCATAAGACAATGTTCATATGCTAGAAAATGTCGAGATGGAAAGCTGTTATATGAATGATTAATACTGAAAATTCGCATATTGAATTCTTCAGATATATATGTGTTTATTTTTGAACACTAATGGAAGATATGGCTTTTACTAATCAATTAAAATACGTTGATTTATATGTATTGAAAATATACCATGTTTTATACAGACGGGGGTGCAGACCTTTCTGTCTTTTTGAAGATATGCTACAAATGTTTAAAAGGAATTCGTAGAAGCGATTTCTAACACCAACACCTGCTTATCTAACACTGACTCGTTGATTGGGTGCTTTGGGTTTCGGGGACGACTGCTGACCGTTTGATGCGATCACCTTGTGCGGCCGATACTGGGACCCACATCCAACAGAAATATCAAACGGCGAGCTCTCCGTGGTTGTAGGCAAATACACAGCTATTTCTGTTATTTTTCAGCAGGAACGGTCGGAGCTGATAAGATTGCCAATAGTGCCAATGTGTATCAAGCGATACACAACACAATCGCGGCACAAGCGAACGCAGAGATAAAACGTACTTTTGCTTTTGCCCTAGCTGGTCTCGAATCTCGAACATACACACAACTGAAGCAATTTCAGGCAATCAATTAATATACGGGACGGTGTGCATGGGAGCCAGCTGATATTACGGCGAAGCGTTGGTGTGGGCCCTGCCGTTACCAGTTAGTTTGAGTTTGAATTTGATTCGCAGCGGGTCGAAAGTGGAAGTTTGGCCAGGAGCATCGTAGAAAATCGTGTGAAGCACAAGGTAACCAACTGCTCGTCTCGCGTTCCAGTACTCGTATCTTGACTCGTAAATCAAGATCCAGAGTATTGGCCGAAGACCGCTTTGACCCAGCAAACCGCTTTTTGCGATACCATTGTTTGCTTAGTATCTTGAGGATCTGATGTCATACCAGTAGAAGCAATAAATCTGCAGCTTTTACTAATTGGACCATAATCACAATAACAAAACTATGACGATTTACTACTTCTTTTCGGGTCTTTATGTAATTTGCTTTCATTAAAGATTGCTTCATGCGCCAGGAATTTCCTGGCGAGTGTGATAGCGGCAAATGTATAGCAATTCAGCAAGGTACAAAGCCATTCGAGAAGGTGGTGCTGAGTTTCTCTTATCTAATCGGAGCACAAGTGAACCATATGAATATACCCTTCAATATGTGCAGAGTATATACATACATATGTTGTATATACTCATGTATATATAAATAAGCTAGCAAAGAGCGATCTTTCATTTACAATAGCTCCTCTTAAGCTTTGATTTCGCATTGCATTGTCGCACTTCGGCGAAATGGTCAAAGCAGGCTACAGAACCTTGAAATATTTCCGGCCCATATCACTTATGAATGGGTAAATATCCAAAAAGATAGGCATGCAGTTATAATATAATAGAGAATATACATATAAGTGGCTTACTCAGCCTGTGCATTTCATTGGAATCTACATTCTATTGTATTTTCTACAGGATGCCACGTAACGGCTATGAAAATGGAGTCCCATCCAAGGCTCTTCCGAATGAGGACTATGATGAGATAAAGCCTACCTATGCATTGGAGCACTTAGCCACTTTTAAGCTCAAAAATGAGGCGGAAACGAAGCAGCCAAAGGAGAAGATGAAACTGCTTATTGAACTGGACAAGACGGGGGGCATTTGGCCTCACAAGATGTTTATGAGCTTCAACGGCCAGTGGCTAGTGATGCTAGACAGCGAAATGAAGGAGATTGAGAACTTCCCTGGCAGCCTGATCACGGAACCCACAGCGTTTATTAGCGAGGATCCGCAGGAGGCATACAACAACATTTTGATATTTTCGGTTCCTGGTATCTCGCTAGGCAATACGGAGATGCACATTTTTCAGGTGAGCACTGATCGTCCTAGAACGTCCGTCGAATCTCTTAATAATCTTTCATATTCCGCATCTGCTTAAGGTGGCTGATGTCAGCTCTGTAAACTTGGTGGAAGATCTGCGAACGGTAAGCATAGTACGCTCTGACAGTCGACATTTTCTTAAAAGGACATTTTCCTATTGCCAAACGGATTTCTCATCTGAGATGTTCCCATTCATATCCATGGAATTACATTTATACTGTTGTATCTTCTTTATGGTGCGCTGATCAGATTATTGTCATGAGCGACATCCACCATAACTTTACCATTTCTTTCTTGGCTGCCATCTAATGATTCCACAATGGTTTCATCAATGGGTTTAAGGATATCTCTCCTGTCCAAATTAATGCAATTACAATGCAATTACAATGCAGACTTCTTGACTAGTTTTATAATACTATTTATTCCGTCCTTAATACATTTGTTCCACAAATAACTGTATCTGTATCATTCCTATTTGATCACAAATTGTGCTTTAACAGCTATATATCCGCAACAGTTAATAAAGCTAAGGGTGTATTAGCGTTCATCATACCCCGCCCCTAACCAACCGATCTAGGCTACATCTAGGCAGGTCACTTTATTGCACCATCGCAGAATATGTATTGGGGTAATGTTCGTGCACACGCTCCATCTCGGAAATGTGGACTCCTAGACTTCTTTGGATCAGAGTGACTTTGCGGTTCCATTTGGACCTACCCGTTCTTTTCGGCCTATCCGCTTACTCGTATGTAGGTCCAACTGCGCCCAGCATAACCGGCCATAATTATAATTCCCTTTTCCATACCTTATCCCCTGAACTACCCTTTAGATTATAGCACTTAATATTTACAATCCCCTGAAAGAACTTAGCAAATTTGTAAAATCTTTTGATCCTCCTCCTGTGTATTAATCGTTAGTTCTTTTAGTATCTTAAACCATTACTAGCAGATAATTGTTAATTAAATAAATAAATAAATTGTAGCTGAGCAAAGGTACGCCCGTCTCGATCGACCGTAACAAAACACCCATTCGCTTGCCCAAGCCTGACCGACCCGTTAACCAGCAACCCAAGGACCAGTACGGAATTGCGGCGGCCGTGGCCGGGATTGCTGCCGAGAAGAATGCGCTGGATCGCGAGCAAACCGAACGGGACGTCCAGGTGATTAATCATTGCTTTGAGGACATTGAGCGGTTCATGGCGAGGCTCCACTACGCGGCCGAGGCTCTAACCGAGCTCAAGTTGCGCAAGGAGCAGCACAATCCCCACGGAGAAGGTCTGCTCGTACTGCGGTCGCGTCCACCCATTGAAAGCGAGTTCCACGACATCCTGGCCAAAGTGAAGCTAGCTCTTATTTACTCTGTCAAGCTGCAAAACCACTTCACAAAGAGCTCGGATCCGATCCACAATGTTTTCATTTCTCTTCAAACCATTGTGACTGTCTGCAACGACATCTATGTAGACGCCAATTTGCCAGAAGGCGTCGTTAATCCGCTGCTGCGTCGCGAAACTATTGCGTTCCTCAGCGGGACGTTGGACTCCAACGAGAAGCAGTTGTGGCACAGTCTGGGACCCAACTGGACGGTGCCGAAAGATCAGTTTAAGGACCACAAGAGCTCGTACCACCCTATTTTCTACGACGACTGGTCGCCGGACTGGGTTGTGGACGAGGAGGTGCAGTACCTTGCGCCCGCACTAAAGAAAACATCAACGCCCTCACCGATACCCCTGCCTCCGAGTCCGGGTGGTAATCGCACCTGGCTGAATCGTTTAGAAAGCCGCAATGTTAAGATCGCGGAGGTCGCGTACAACAAGTCGGCTACCAACGACAAGGAGCTGAAAGTAACAAAAGGCGAATACTTGGAGGTATGCAATTGAATACCCCTTAGTTTTACCTCAGTCTATGTGAGTCAACAAACTCCTGCAACGCCGTTCACAGATAATTGATGACTCCCGCAATTGGTGGAAGGCTCGCAACTCCTACGGAAGTATTGGATACGTGCCTAACACCGTGCTTACGCCGTATAACTTTGAGCACGGCGTTAATTCGAACGGCCGCGACTCAGAGTCATTGGCCTCTTTGTCGCTGCAGGAGAACGAGTCTAGTGAAGCCAACAATCCCGTGTACCGCAATACCATGGCCTTATATGCGCCACCAACAGACCTGGAGCAGCAAGCGGGCAGCGTCAAGGTAATGCCGCGATCGTATTCCATGCCCAATGTTCCCGTTCCCCCACCAATGCCGCCGGCGGGAGAAAGCCAGCCCACCACTCCAAGTGGCACCCTAAAGCGCAACATGGCCGCGGCAGGAGCACTGGCAGGTAAGCCCTAATATAAACATTCCGTTCTCCTAGCATTTACTTAAAGTCAGTGCTCTGTCTCTGTCTCTGTCTCGCCTTCCAGCGATGCGTGCTCGCAACGACTGCGATGCCGCTGATGAGGCCTACATGATGCAGGACGATGTGAACGATGAACTGCGCCTTATGCTGCAGCAGAGGCAGCGTCGTAAGGACCTCGAAATCCTGAAGACTCCGGAAATCTTCATTACCCAGCACTCCAAGCCCAGAGAGGTGGAGGAATGGCTGCGAGGCAAGGGCTTCTCCGATAATATAATCAAGCGTCTGCACTCCCTCAGCGGCGAGGAGATCTTCGCTCTCTCACCTCACACCATCGAAAGCTACTTCGGGCAGCGAGAGAGTCGCCGTCTGATATCGCAGATCGTGCTGCAGAAGAATTTCTGCGAGGTGAGCATGTCCGCCACTCCCGCCCCCTCTGAGCCCACCTTATTCAGTATTCTTCTCTGTCCATTCCATTGCAGTACAAAACCATTCGCTCGTCAGAGCTATCTGCCAAGCTGGCTCGTGCTCGTCAAAAGGCTGACCAATCCAACGGCAATGGCAACGTCAACCCCAACGAAGTCTTCTAATATTGCCATACATAGTTGTT